GAGGGGGGGCAAACATCGACCTGGAATCGGCGATACATCGCCGACTGATCGGCCATAGGGCCCTGGTAGCGAAGTTGCACGTTCCTGGGCGGGGTGGGCTATCCGGCGCCTGTCGGCGATGAATGGGCGATTGGGGGTCGATGGATGCGTTCCCTCCTGAGCCTGTCACCCCTAGCGTTCCCGCTGACCCTTATGAAGAAAATCCTGGAGGCCTCGCGCGGCAACTTGAGACCCAAGTTCCACTGGATCGGCGTCAGTTTCACGTCGGATGCACGTCGGATTCACGTCGACTTTACCTAGGACTTACGTTGGAACGTCGCCGCGCGAAAGGATCTTCCTCGTAGCGGCCCCCCCCCCACGTGCCCCTTTCTTCTCCCCACTCTGCCACCCGCCCTTCGCACTCTGACGAGGAGACTGGGCGAGCGCGCCTTCCGGCCCCACCCCGGGAAGAGAGGAATTCAGGGCGCCGTCGCGAGCTTCCTGAATGGCTCGAAAACAGAACAGCTGCCATGCAGTGGTACGGCGGCGAAGTTGGAAAGAGCAATATGCTGGTGCAGGGGCGTCCACGAGGAGGGCGCCCAAGAGGGAGGGTCGCGAATCACGGCTGGAGGCACGTGCGCAGACGAGGGGGGGCCAGGGGACGCATTGAAATAAGAGGAACAAGCAGAAGAAGAAAATACATAAGAAGAGAAAGAAAAGAAGAGGCCATGAAAGCATGGGAGATATCACGGCTCTGGTAATTACCCACACCCCTCGAGTCGTCATCACCCCCCGCTTGGACGCCCCCGGCTGGTGGCGATAATGATCGCGGTGGCAGGAACGGTCATGGCGGCAATTGCTCCTGCCGGTGGCGGCTGCGACGACGGACGGCGGCGGCAATTGCGACGTCGACTGCTATGCGGTGGCGACGGCGGATGTGACAGCCAGCTGTAACCAAGACCGTATGTGCATGACAGACCACGTGTCACTGAATGCGGGCATGATGATGCCGAGAGGAGTGGCCACCGAGGGATTGCAACGGTGGCAACGGTCACTGCGACACACCGTATCCACCATGTACATTTATCCGCCACCGCTCCCTGGCACGTTGAGGCATGCTAGAATACCGAGTGCTGCCTGATATGGTTTTTGAAACCTCCTGAGGGACTACCCCCCTCCAGGCCGCACCTCGTCGCGAGCACCAGCCATGTTCCCGGGGGGTCCCTGGGCGGTCATGTCGCCTCCCTCCATGACAGCCCAGGACTCCCCCAAGACAGTCCAAGAGGGCCCCGAGTCGCCGAACGATAGCCCGAAGACGCCCAAGATGGCTTCAAGATGGCGCAAGAGCCTTCCCAGGCGCCCCAGGAAGGCCTCCAAAAGGTCTCCCGAGAGGGCCCCCCAAAGGTAAGAATCATTGATTTCCCTTGCGTTTTTCAAGGATGTTGGCGTGCTCGCATTTCCGGCTTTCCGACGCCACAAGACGGCAAAACAAGCCCCCGAGATCACCCCAACGCCCAAGAGGTCTCCACGAGGGCCCCAAGCCGGCCCAAAAGCGCCCCAGAACGGTCCAAGAGGCGACCAAGACGGCCTAAGAGGGCCCCAAGACGGCCCCAAAAGGAACCCCTGAGAGGGTCAGGACACCCCAAGAGGCGCCCCAGACGCCCCAATAGGCCTTCCCCCCCAGGAGGTCCCCAGAGTCCCCAAGAGACCCCCAAAGAGGTCCAGAGGCCCCAAAACAGGCCCCCAGAGGCTTCAAAACTGCCTCCAAGAGGACCCCGAGAGGCCTCCCAAGGGATTCCAACGAACATCCACTAGGTTTATAACCCACATCCCATGCACGGTGGCGAGACTAGCCGTAAGCAACTACATATAGATATATTGATATATTGATATATATATATATATATATGTATATATATATATATATTATATATATATATATATTATATATATATATATATATTGATATATTGATATATATATATATATATATATATATATACATACACATACAGACATACACACATATACAGTATATATATGTATATGCAGACATATATACATGCATACAAACATACATACATACATACATACGTACGTAGGTACGTACGCGCATACATACAATTGCTTACAGATATACATCGGTACATACAAATACACGTGCATACATATATGCATACATATATACATATACATTCGCACATCAAACTACAACTACATATATACATATAAACATACCTGTATGACGGTACGAATACCTATATATATATATATACATACATATACACAAACACGTACATGTACGTAGGCATATGCATACACATAAACATACTCATACACATGTGCATATTCATGTACATATACATATCCATATGCACATGCATATGCAGTTGTATGTGTATACACATATACTTATAACGACGCATATACATATACATAAAACTGTTGGACATATGCATATACGAAAACATAAACATAGGCATGTACATACACAGATGCAAATGCGTGTTCATGCACATCAACATGCGCATAGACATACACATGTACATGTATATATAAATACATACATACACATATATAAACAGATGCATATTACACCAGCACGTGTATGTATATAAATTGTGTACATGTATGTACGCATTTGGATGTATATACGCATGTGGCTTGCTTAACATATGTACAGACTGCATGTATACACACATATCTATAGACAAATATGCACATGCATATATGGTCCAGGGCTTGGGCACCCCCACCCACTCCCAATGCTGATGCCATTGGGCCCCACCCACCCACCCCGCGCGATGGTCCCCACCGCCCCCCCCTGTGGGCGTGGCGTGGTGCTGCGCTGCGGTGCTCCCCTCCCCCCCTGTGGATGTGGTGTGGTGCTGTGGTGGTTCAGAGGTGGGCGTGGCGTGGTGCTGCGCTGCGGTGCCCCCCTCGCCCCCCTGTGGATGTGGTGTGGTGCTGTGGTGGTTCAGAGGTCGTCGTCGTCGTCGTCCTCGTCATCCTTCGTCGTCCTCGTCGTCGTCGTCGTCGTCATCGTCATCGTCGCCGTCGTCATCGTCGTCATCGTCGTCGTCGCCGCCGCCGGCGTCGTCGCCGCCGCAGCCGTCGTCGTCGTGGTCGTCGTCGTCGTCGCGGTCGTCGCCGTCGTCGTAGTCGTCGCCGTCGTCGTCTTCGTCGTCGTCGTCTCTGGGGCCATACCATCTGGGGGTGGGGGGTCCCGAAGAATCCTGGGACCATACCATCTGCGGGGGGGGGGCCGTGGGCCCGGAGCCTGGGATCATATATACAAGTGTACATATATATATATAAACAAATAGACATGCATAGAAGTACACATACATACATACACACATATAGACATGCACATATGCATACATACAACAATGCATGAATGCCGACATAAATCGCCATACGCGCATACATACAGACATGTATACAAGCATCCACACGAGTACACATATGCACACATACACATGTACAGCTATACACAGTTAAACATATGCACGGGCTCATGGGCATATAGGTGTACTTAGAACTGGTCAGAAACATTTATACGGATCTACACACATGCATATACGGAGTCACATACAACTGCTTGCACATATACATACGAAGATACATACATATATAATGTGCATATACAAGATGCGGTTATATATACGTACACATGTACATATACACATACGTATACACACACATTGACATATAAGTATACAGACACACACATAAAAACATACATAGACCATGAATTGTGAATACGCAAAGGCATCGAAATATACATATGTCTGTACATGTACATAAATGTAAACATAACTATATACACATGAAAATACACCTGCATCTAAATATACAGATACAGCTGTTTATACATGCCCACGCTCATGCTCAGATACACCAACATTGTATTAAGTTGAAAAGTATACTCAATCATTCCCAGAAACATAAGCATATGCACATACATATACACATATACACATACACATACACATACATATAGACATACATAGACATGATCATAAACATGTGCATGCACCTACACATATACATCTACATATGCTTGTACATAAACGACACGGCGCTCGCGGAGCTCGCAAAGGGGGGGGGGGCCGTAGCTACCGCCCCCCTTGGGCCCCCCTGCTGGAAGCTACCCCCCCCCTCCCCCTCTTTTTGGTCCTCCCCCGGAAGCTACTTCCCCCCCCTCCCCTCTCCCCTTTTGCCGGTCGAGAAGCTACCCCCCCCTTCCACTCTCCCCCCCTTCCACTCCACCCCATGTACTTATGCCCACCGTGCGCTGCAAGGCGCGCAGGTGCGCGCGGGCGTTGCAAGTCGCGAGTGCCGGCACCGCTGGGCACTGACCATGCCCCAACGCGCGTAGCACGCCGCCTAGGAGCGCCAAAGCATAGCGCGCCGTGCATGCGCAACTGCATCACCGGGCACGGGCAGTGCCCCCGGCGCGCTGAGCAGCACATGGGTGCGCATAGGTAGCGCGCACCGCGAGGCCTGCACTGCCGCGCAGTGGCAATGCGCAGGCGTGCACCCCGCCAGCGACTCCTGAGTGATCGGACAATTGCCACTGAAAAGATAAACGTGCACAGCGCTGTCCGGAGCTGCAATGGCTGAGGGCGCACAGATTGCCGCGTGGCCGCGTGCCGAGACCGAATGGCACAGCGTAAGGCGTTAACGCGATCTTGCGGCCGAAGGCACAACAAACGTGTCAGCGCGCCTGAAGCTGCACACTCCGTGCACCGTGCGTCCGAAAGCCAGGCCGCACCGCATGCATTAGAGCGTGGGACACCACGTCTTGTTGTTTAGTCAATGGCACAGCCTTGCCCCGATTGCCTGTCAAGGAGGTGAACGGGCGGCCTGCCAGTGGCGAGGCTGACATGTGGTTGTGGCCAGGGCCGCGCGCGGTGTAGCGCGTAGACTGGGACACTTCCTGGTTCGTTGGGGAAAGGTGCGCGACAAGGTTTCCAAACAACACGCGGAACGACAGCAATATGTCAGCGACATGCCTGGACGCCTCGTCCTGGAACAGCGCTCGTGTAGCTGGTAGTGAAGTTCCTGTCGAAGACCGCGTCGAGGAAGAACCAGAAGAAGACGAAGTACGGCGGCTCGGAATTGCCGAACGGATATAAGAGGCAGATGAAGCGAAGAACCCAAGTGAGCAACAGTCGTGGCGTAGCCGACGTGTTGGCTGCATCTGGGCGCGGTGTCTGCAACACTCGCGGGCTGCGTGTCTGGCTGGCTGCGGCCCACAATCAAGACAGGTACACGCATTGACGATCTCACGCTGGTGCTGAGTGGTTTGCTGCCCCCGAACGCCAAGATGGGAATCCTCCACGATACGACCTCACCACGATGTGAGCTGCGGAAGCGACGTTGGGCTCGGGCCTACGCAGGGACGAACACCATGTTGAAGCAAGTGGCAGCAATAGTAATGTTGTCACCCTTGACGGGTGCCCAGGGTGGTGGGATAGGCATAGTAGCACTCATTGCTCCACTCGAGAAGTGCGGCGCGCTCGCAAGGACAGCCAACATTGTCGCACACATCACGAGGTACGGCTGTAACCAAGCGGGAGGCCTCGCAGTCACGCCCGACGCGAAGCGGCGGCCAGTGCCTGTGGGGTGCGATGGGTCGGGGAACGTCGTGGCGCTCCCATGGGCGAGTCGCTTCAAATCGCGGTAACGCCTGCGGCTGCCTTTGCCCTGCGCAACTGGACTCTGACACGCCTCACACGGCATACGGCGTTTGTCGTCATCGTCGCGTGTGAACGTCCAGGGCGAGTTGCTTACCAGACGGTGTGCAGAACAACCGTGAACACAGGTTGCTTGTGGAACGGAGGTTGGTACCAATGAAGAGCTTAGGGAGAATGCGAATGTGCGCCCACATCGCACTATGCGCAGCCCCATGGATCGCGAACTGGATCGAGAAGTGGGATCGAACTGGGATCGCGAACTGGGAATTGCGGGTGGTAGTGGTAAAAGGTCAGAGACATGGCGACCATGGTAACATGAGAGATAGCAGAGCGGCGGTCTTTTCCTTCTCAACACTGGACAAGTTCGCAGGACCGCTGTGAGCCAGTCGGCAGCGGACCACTCCTATTCGAGTGAGGAGGGGGAGGAGGAGGAGGAGGAGGAGAAGGATGAGGAGAGCAGGAGGAGGAGGAGGAGGAGGAGGAGAGGAGGGAGCGAGGAGACGAGTCAGGATAGAGGAGGGGTGAGGATACTGTATACACATACGATGCGATTATCTTGATCTGAGAGATCTTGGGACACCTTTATTCGTCGATCTTTGAGGGCCCTGAGGTGCCCGAGAGCTTCTGCGGGTCCAACGAGCTATCGGGGAGAACGCAACTTCCGTGGGGTACCCGCTGGCAGGCCGATCCCTTATCTGATGTGCGGAATGTACGACGAAGAAGAAGAGGGAGGCGTAAAGCGCGAGCACGCGCGCGAACTCCCTGGCACACCCAGAAATGGGTAGAGAAAACGTGGGCACGATGCACAACCGCAAGCGTTGTCCAGAACCGACAGCGGCCGCTATCTGGCAGGCGTCTTTTTGTCTCAACTGGACAACGTCCGCGGCGACGCCGACAGCGAGCCCTGGCCAAAATGGACGAGAACTGCTGTCGGGACTCCAATGGGGGCCTGGTTGGGGGAAGGGTCTGATTTGAGCTGTCCTGGAGGGTTCTGGGAGGTCTGGGCAAAAGGCCGCCCCTTCATGGTTGGCCTGGGGGGGTCTACACCTGCTTTTCTGGGAGGGTTGCGACTCCCACACTGCATGATGAAACCCAAAAAGTCTTCGGCATTCGTCACCATTTTGTTCCGTACCGATCTCGATCGTACCGATCTCGGGGTCGGCGCAGCACAGCTGCGCACAGCCTACGCGCAAGGGCGAGGCACGGTTTGTGCGAGTCCTACGGGTGCCCAGCGCCCCCTGCTGAGCGCTGGAATGCTGGCAGGCGGCGCGGCGCTGAAGACATTCGTCGGCCCACCGGGCCAACGGCGTGTCAGACCGGGGCCGGCACGGGAACGGAAAGAGCGCTTCAGAAAATGGCCCGACGCGGCTCCAGGCACTGTTCGCTCTTGGGAGCATTGGCGTTCAGAACTCGTCACGTTACTGTGCGCTTTTGGAAGCCTCGGTGCTGCGGGCTGCTTCATGTCACTGTGAACTCTTAGGAGCCGTGGTCTCAAGAGCTGTTTATGTCACCGTTCGCTCTTAGGGGGCCTTGACGTTCAGAGCTGTTGGGAGCCTTGATGGTACGAGCTTGTCACGTCACGATGGGCTCGTGGAGGCTTTTGTGTTACGAGCTGTTCACGTAACCGCTCGCTCTTGAGAGCCTTGGCGTCAACAGCTTGCCACTTTTCACGTCACGATGGGCTCGTGGGGGCGATGTTGTTACGAGCCTTTCACGTGATCACTCGCTCTTGAGAGCCTTTGCGTCAAGCGCTCGTCACGTTTCACGTCACGATGAGCTCGTGGGGGGCATTGCTGTTACGAGCTTTCCACATAACCGCTCGCTCTTGAGAGCCTTGGCGTCGAGAGCTTTTCACGCCACTGCTCACTCTTCGGGGCCTTGGCGTTCAGAGCTTTCTGCGCCACCGCTCGCTCTTGCTTGTGAGCCTCAGCTTTGCGAACTGCTTCACGTTACCGTTCGCTTCTGGGGGCCCTGATGTTAAGAGCTTTGTTACGTCAGCGTCACTCTTTGACATGACTTTGGCCTTGCCAAGTCTTCTTGGGGGTCATGGCAGGGCCCGACTGGGACCCTTTTGGGCCCCTGTTGGGGGGCCATGGCCGTCCCAGTCCCTCTTGGTGGCCTCTTGGAGCTCCTTTGGAGGCCTCTTGGGGCCCTCTCGGGCCGTCTTGGGGGCCTCTTGGGGACCTCCTGCAGTCTTGGAGCCCTCTTGGGCCGTCTCGGGGCTCTCCTGGGCCGTTTTGGGGCCCTCTTGGGGGCCCCTTGGGCCGTCTTGGGCCGTCGGAAGCCCGAAAAGCTACGAACCATCAACACCTTCTGAACAACTCAAGGAAAACCAATGCTTTTGGCCTCATGAAGCCCTCTGGGGTGTCCTCTTGGGCTGTCTTGGGGCCCTTTTGGACAACCTTGAGGCCATCGTAAGCCATCTTGGAACGCTACTGGGTGTTCTGGGGCTCTCTTGGAGCGCTCTTCGGTCGTTTCGAAGCCCTCCCTTGGGCCATATTGCGCGCCTCTGGGGCCGTCTTGGGGGCCTCTTCGGAGGGAGAGGGCGTGTTGACCCGAGATTGTTCGCTCTTCGCACATCACTCGTAATGACCTCGCGTTGTCAGTCACCTGGGCCAGCACGGGAACAGACAGAGACATTCGGGAACTTGCCCGAGAGGGCTCATGGCACCGTTCGCTCTGGGGAGTCTTGGCGTTAAGAGTTGTTTACGTCACCATTCGCTCTTAGGAGCCTTGGTGTGAAGAGCTGTGCGCATCACCGTTCGCTCTTGGAAGCCTTGGAGTTATGAGCTGTTTATGTCACCATTCGCTCTTAGGAGCCTTGGTGTGAAGAGCTGTGCGCATCACCGTTCGCTCTTGGAAGCCTTGGAGTTATGAGCTGTTTCACGTCACCGTTCGCTCTTGGGAGCCTTGGTGTTCAGAGCTTTTACTTCACTGCTCACTCTTGGGAGCCTTGGCGTTCAGAGCTTTTCACGTCACCGGCTTGTACAAAAATGGCGTTCCAATCACCCGGTTCTCTTAGGAGCCTTGGCGCCAAAGCTGCGTCCGTCACTAAGCCGTTCCGGGGTGTCTCCTGGGGCCCCTTTTGAGTGTTTGGGCCCTCTTGGGCCGCTCTGGGGCCCTCGTGGGGCCCTCTTCGGCCATCTCGGCGGCCTCCTTCGGCCCTCTGGGGGCTCTCTTACGGGCCACTTGGGGCCCAAGACTGCCCAGGGGTCCTCAAAGACGGCCCCAAGACGGCCCACGAGGGCCCCAAGACTGCCCAGGAGACCCCCAAGACGGCCCTTGAGGGCCCCAAGAGAAACTCAAGACGGCCCAGCGAGGGCTCTAGAACGGCATCCAGAGGCGCTAGACAGCCCAAGAGCATCCGAAGACGGGGCCCGCAGGCGGGCCCCAGGACGACCCAAGAGGGGGAAAATCGAACTGTTTCGGGCGACCCTACCCTCATGATGGTCCCAAGGGGACCAGAGAGGCCCGAAATACGCCTCCAAGAGGCGAGACCTCCCTCGGACGCTTCCAAGAGGACAGAACCACAGACGATCACAATAATGCTTGGTGATCTTGGCGTGCTCGCCCTTTCGGGTTCCAGTGAGGGTCTCGAGCCCGAGGTGGCCCCAAGAGAGCCTCAAGAACTATCCCAAGAGGGCGCAGGAAGGCTCCAGGAGGACCCCAAGAAGCCCAAGAGCGGCCTTAGAAAGGGCACCGAGGGGCGGCAGGCCCCAGGATGGCCCCAAGCCAGACCCAAGAGGCCCAAGACGGCCCAAAGGCGGCCTAGGACTGACAAAAAGACAGCCCCCACGAGGCCCCCAAGAGGCCGCAAGAAGCCCCTCAGAGGCCCCCAGGAAGCCCCCAGAGGCCTCCCAGAGACCACCCACGAGGTCCCCCAGCATGCTCTGGCAGCCCACGATTTCTTCCAATTCACTACTCGTTTTCTTCAGCGTCGAAAGCGAAACTTGGCTGTGGGCGGTATCCTGTGAGTACTGGGCTCAATATACCAAGCGGCTGTTTCTCCCCCACACGAGCTTCACACGGCAGCTTGGAGACACTACCTCCACCCAACAGCTTCCCAGTGCCCACGAACACCCCGGAAAACGGCAAGGATGCTACAACAGGGGCGGGCGGAGTGCGCGAAGCGGTGGTAGAGAAAACTGAGCGGGGAAAATTAGGCGAGACATGCCCGTCACCGTGCCACCAAGCGGGCTCGATCGAGTTCCGCGGGGGCACAAGTTCCCTGGCACCTCCGCATACTCCTCCTCCACGTCCTCCGCCTCGGCTGGTGCACGAGTCGGCTCAGTACACCTCGACGTGGTAGCGGTGGTTCTTCTTCATCTCCTTCGCGAACTCCTTCCAGTCGACACCTGCCTTCGCCGCCAGGGGCGAGAAGCACTCCTCCATGCCCGCCTCCATGCCCTTCAGGCCGCACATGTAGATGTGGGTCTTCGGAGACTGCATCAGCTCCCAGAGCTCCTCCGCGTACTCCGCCATCCTCGTCTGGATGTACATCCTCTGGCCCGCGGCGTTCTTCTGCTCACGCGAGATCGCGTAGTCGGCGCGGAACTGGTCGGGGAACTGCTTCGTGTACTCGTCGTGCTCGTCGACGTAGAGCAGCGAATTCGAGTAAGGGACGCCGAGGAAGAGCCACGCCAAGCCCTGAAACTTGCGGGTGCCGTCGGGGTTGGCGCCGACCTTGTCGTGGAAGAGCAGGCGCATGTAGGAGCGCATCGGCGCGATGCCGGTGCCCGTCGCGAGCATGATGATGTTGCAGTCCTGCTCATTCGGCAGCAGCATCTCGGCGCCGGTCGGGCCCGTGATCAGGACCTCGTCACCCTCGCTCATGTCGCAAATGTGGTTCGAGCACACGCCGCGGTAGACCTTGGCGTCGGGGAAGCAGGTGCCGGCCTTGTCAGGCTTGTCTTCTCCGACCTCGCGGTTGGAGTGCTTGAGGGGCCACTTCTCCTCCTCCACCTCGACGACACGCTTGACGCAGAGGGAGACCGTCTTGGAGTCCTGGCAGTCACCGACGGCCGACGAGCCGATGGAGTAGAGACGGATCTTGGCCGGGGTCTCGCCCTTCTTGTCGGGGCCGGGCGCGATGACCCCGATGGACTGTCCCTCCACGTACGGCACCTTGCCCCCGTGGTCGAAGGTCACGTGCGTCGTCTCCCAGTTGGCATCGCCAGGGGAGCTGCTGTTGGGTTTGGTGATGGTGTGCGCCTGCACGTCGTTCTTGATCACTTTGCCCTGGTACGGCGCCTTCGGCATGAACAGGTTCCATGGGATCTCCCTGCCGTCCAACTGCTGGACGACCTTCACGCCCTTCTTCTTCACCGCGGCCGCGCGGCGCGTGACCACCGAGGAGCCCACGGCGATGGCCGCCGCGCCCAACCCGACCGTGGCCGGGATGCCCGCGAAGGAGCTCGCGTCTGGCGCGGATGATCGGCCGGCCCGCAGGCGCGGAGCGGCCTCGGGCGCCACGGCGGGGGGGGCGGCGACAAACGCCAGCGACATCGTCCACGGGGCAAGAGGCTCGGAGTCTGCGGCAGGGGCGGGCAGCCCTATGGGGGTGGCACTGCACGCGTCGGGCTGCGCGCCGTGCTGCGCCCAGTGCTGCCCCCCCCTCGGACTCCTCCTCCTCCTCCTCCTCCTCCTCCTCCTCCTCCTCCTCCTCCTCCTCCTCCTCCTCCTCCTCTCCTCCGCCTCCTCCTCCTCCTCCTCCTCCCCGAAACTCCATCATCCATCCTCCATCCTCTATCCTCCAACTTCCATCCTCCATCCTCATTCCTCCATCCTCCATACTCATTCCTCCATCCTCCTCCATACTCCATTTCCTCCTCCTCCTCCTCCAAACTCCATTCTCCATCCTCCAACTTCCATCTTCCATCTTCCATCCTCATTCCTCCATCCTCCATACTCAGTCCTCCATACTCCTCCATACTCCATCTCCTCCTCCTCCTCCTCCTTCTCCTCCTCCTACTCCCATCAGCATCATCATCATCAGCATCATCATCAGCATCACCATCATCATCATCATCATCGTCATCATCATCAGCATCATAACCATCATCATCATCATCATCATCATCATCATCATCATCATCATCATCATCATCATCATCATCATCATCATCATCATCATCATCATCATCATCATCATCATCATCATCATCATCCGCATCATCATCATCACCATCATCAGCAGCAGCAGCATCATCATCATCCCCCTCCTCCACCTCCCCCAGTTCCTCCTCATCTTCCTCCTCCTACTCCTCCTCCTCCTCGTTCTTCTCCTCTTCCTCCCCCTCCCCCTCCCCCTCTTCTTCTTCGCCGTATCATTACTATATGATTGTTGTTCGTCTTCTTCTGATCAGTAATCAGATTCCTTTTTCTTCCTTCTCCTCCTACTCATCCTCCTCCTCCACCTCCTGCTATTCCTCCTCCTCCACCGCCTCCACCGCCTCCACCGCCTCCTCCACTTCCTCCTCCTCCGCCTCATCCTCCTCCTCATCATCATCATCATTTGCATCATCATCATCATCAACAACATCCTCAATTCCTTTTCCTTCTAAACAACTTCTCCCTGTCGCACCCCGAAGCCAGTTTTGAGGGCGGGTTTGGCGTTTCGCCGGAGATTTCCTCGCCATTTACGAAGACTAGCAACAGCCTCACAGAGGGAGGGTGGATGGTGTTCAACATGTGGCTCTCGCCTTAGTGCGGCACCCATTCGTCATAACAATTTGCAAGAGTTTCACGGATTGAGGGCAGGTGGTTTTCAAAATGTGGTTCTCGCCTTCGCGCCGCGCGCATGCGGTCTAACAAGCTGCAAGAGCTTCACGTATTGAGGGCGGGCGGTGTATGTGGTTCTCGCCTTAGCGCGGCGCACATTCGTTATACAAATGCACAAAGGCCTTACGGATTGAGGGCGGTTTCTTTTCAAAATGTGGTTCTCGCCTTAGCGTCGGGTGCACTTGTTTTACAAACCTGCAGGAGCTTCACTGATTGACGGCGGTTCCTTTTCAAAATGTAGCTCGCCTTAGCGCGGCGCACATCCGTTTCAAATTTGCAAAAATGGCACGGAATCCCGCCATCAGTGTACCAGAAGTGGTGTTTTGCAAGGATGCAGGATTATGCGGGCGCAACAGATACGTTCGTTCTCGGTGTTGAAGTCCTAGGAATGGCGTTCTGGCACGATTCAGGATCAGGTTGATCCGTGGCGTTGGTTGGAATTCCGAACACATGTTCGGGGGCATGCTTCAGGATCTTCAAACGGGTGGCGTTCAACGAAGCAGTTCGAGCACTGGAAATGAACCGTTGTATGGGGCCTATAATAAAGGGGGACCTTGGAGGGATGGTGGATTCAAACATCGTTGATGACTCTTGGGTTTACACTGGTCATTTTTCCTCCTCCTATTCATGTCCTCCTCCTCCTGATCCTCCTCATGCTCCGATGCTGCTCCTCCTCCTCCTCCTCCTCCTCCTCCTCAGCTCCTCCTCCTCCTCCTCCTCCTCCCCGGGTCCTCCTCCTCCTCCTCCGCCTCCGCCTCCTCCTCCTCCTCCTCCTCCTCATCATCATCATATTCGTCCTTCCTTCACCGTCCTCCTCCTCCTCCACCTCCTCCTCCTCTTCCTCCTCCTTTTCCGCGTCCTCATATCCCTCCGTATAGTCTTCCTTTTCCTCTGCATCCTCATCATCATCATCATCAGCAGCAGCAGCATCAGCATCATCGTCATCATAATCATCATCATCAGCAGCATCAGCATCGTCAGTATCATCATCATCAGCATCATCATCATCAAAATCATCAACATCATCATCAGCATCATCATCAGCAGCAACAGCAGCAGCAGCATCACCACCATCATGATCATCGGCTGCAGCATCATCATCGTCATCATCATCAGCACCATCATCAGCAGCATCAGCATCAACATCTACATCATCATCAACATCAGCATCATCATCGTCATCCGCATCACCATCATCCGCATCAACCCCATGATCATCATCATCATCAGTAGTACCAGCAGCAGCAGCAGTATTATCACCATCCTCAGCATCATCACTGCCATCAGCATCATCATCAACATCATCAGCATCATCATCATCATTAGCATCGTCATCATCGTCAGCAACATCACCATCATCACCATCATGATCATCATTATCAGCAGCAGCAGCGTCAGCATCATCATGGCCACTATCATCAGCATCATCATCAGCAGCAGCCGCATCACCATCATCGTCATCAGCAGCAGCATCAGCATCTACATCACCATCAGCATCATCATCGTCATCAGCGTCACCATCATCAGCATCAACACCATGATCATCATCATCATCAGTAGCAGCAGCAGTGTTATCACCATCCTCAGCATCATCCTCATCATCAGCATCATCATCATCCTCATCATCATCAGCAGCATCATCATCACCATCATCATCAGCAGCAGTAGCATCAACCTCAGCATCAGCATCATCATCATCAGCATCATCATCGCCATCAGCATCACCATCACCATCGTCATCAGCAGCGGCATCATCATCAAGATCAGCATCAGCAACATCAGCATCATCAGCGTCATCGTCAGCAGCATCAACATCGTCAGCGTCATCATCAGCATCACCATCATCATCAGCAGCATTAGCATCATCAGCAGCATCAGCATCGTCATCATCAGCTTCATAATAATCAGCATCATCAACAACATCATCATCATCTGCATCAGCATCAGAATCATCATCGGCATCATCAGCATCATCAGGATCATCGTCATCATGATCATATCATCATCAGCAGCATCACCATCAACATCAGCAGCATCATCATCAGCACCATGATCATCATCATTATCATTATCATCGTCATCATCATCATCAGCAGCAGCAGCAGTATTATCACCATCCTCAGCATCACCCTCATCATCATCAGCAGCATCAGCAGCAGCAGCATCAGTAGCAGCATCAGCACCGCTGTCATCAGCATCGCCATCACCATCAGCATCGCCATCATCGCCACCACCACGATCGGCACAGGGATAAGGAACAGGACGGGAAAGGCACAGAGAGCGGAACCGCAGTTAGAAAGGAGAAAAGGAAAGAGTGGACAACGACCTGTCCTCACGTCTCGCGCTCCTTTTGGGCGCAGGCGCCCGCGACGGGAATCAGCTGCACCAAAAGCGACCCTACCAGGTCAGTAGATATCATTCGGGAAGCCGCCGCAGTAGACCTGGGAAGGCAATTGCGCTACAGAAGTGCACGCAGACGGGGCCCACGGAACTATCCAGAAAAACTGGAGTTGGAACGCAGCGTTCCTCTCTCACTGTAGTTTTTCGGCCCGACGAACCCATTCACACACACTCCCAGAGAGCAGTTCCCCGACCTTGACGAACGCCCGCGCCAGGGGCGGCATAGGTTCATAGCATGCCCGTGGCGGCCATTCACGGGGAGGACATGGTGGACCTGAGAAGGCGATTGCGCTACAGGAGAGCGCGGGGGCGCTATTCCAAACAGCGCTTTCCAAAGACAGCCCAGGCCAGGAAAACCCCTGGCTCACGATTGGTTTTTCTCCCAAGTGCCCCCGCGCACTCCCAGAGCCCAGTTGCCCGACCTTCACCAGCGGAATACGTGCATCTGCAGCGCGTTGACGCTGTTCCGAAGACCACTGGGGCACACCTTATAAGGGGCCTTCCATGCAGCAGGGCATGGACAACCACCCACGGACCAGACTGAAAACAGACCCGCGCAGTATCTATACGTCCACACCCTTGTTTGCGATATGGCCCGTTTCCAATTCAAGGCCGCGGGCGCATGTCCACGTACCAGCGTATGTAAGACCCCCAACCTTGTCGTGGATTTCCTCGGAGCGGTGGAGCTGCTGGTGGATTGCAGCTGGGTCCACCTCGAACCTGGACGCGTTCGACGAGAACTCCTTGGACAGGATGTTGCGCACGGTGCGCTCCCCAACGCTCCCAAAGGATACGTTGAGGACCTTGTGGCTGAAGGCGCTGGTCTGGCTATCGTGCCAATGGCCAGGGAACAGCGTCTTGCACACCTGCGCCCCTGGAAAGAGCATTGGATTACAGCAGTTCGCGCACATAGCTCCATGAAGTGGCTTCGAAATCTGGCTATGGTTAAACTGGTCCCTTTTCATGTTTGCGGGCGCCAGACCCCGCAGTCAGTTTCATGGACACTCATGCACGAACTGCTGCATTTCAACACTCTGGCCTTCACCGTCTTCGGCTGCCGTGAACGTCCTGTCGTAGCGCGCCTTCACGCCCAGGTTCTCGACCAGCACGGGTCGGTGACGCCGCAGGTAGTCTTCGTACAGCTGCTGGACGCGGCCGCACAGAATCTTCCCTACGTCGCCCCTGTTGCCGATCGCCGTGTCCTGGCTCCACTTCGTCTTGTGAGACTGGGAGGAGCATACGCATTATCAGCAGCAGCATACGCATTATCGTCATCATTATGATCAGCATCATCATCATCAGCACCAGCAACAGCATCAGCATCCTCATCAGCATGCTCAGCATCATCATCATCATCATCATCATCATCATCATCATCATCACATCACCATCATCATCATCAGCAGCATCATCATCATCATCGTTAGCATCATCAGCATCGTCACCGTCGTAGACATCCTCAGGATCATCATCATCATCATCACCACCACCACCACCATCATCATCATCATCATCATCATCATCCTCATCCTCCTCCTCATCATCATCATCGTGGTTCATCTCAAAAACGCCCTGGACGTCAGGCCGAAAATGCTAAAAATACGACACTTGTTTTAGTGTTGTCAGTGTCGTTTTGGGGGCGTTCCAGGTTCGTCGCTGTGGTACAGCGTTCTGTTGCACTTTTTTGCGGTATCGTCGAAGGCTCCTCGTTGTCTTCTCTGCCAGCTTGGCTCCCGCGCTCCCCGCCCTGCCACCGTTCGCCCTTTCTGCCCCCCCCTTCCCTCTCCCAGGTCGACGCACCTGCCTTGATCCATGAGCTGCGTACACTACGGGGGGCCCAAAAACCGATTCCCGCACGGAAACCTAGAAACGGAAAAAAAAAAAAAAAAAAAAAAAAAAAAAAAAAAAAAAAAAAAAAAAAAAAAAAAAAAAAAAAAAAAAAAAAAACGGTCTGACACCGTTCTAACACCGGAAAGGAGGTGGTAGCAGGGGAGGGCGAACTTCCGCGACGAGTCACCAGCGACGGCCACAGAAAAGCAAACTTGGATAAAGAAGACGATAGGGATACGCAAGGAGAAGGAAACACGCAATCCACGGATCTAAAAACGCTAAAAATGGTCTGCAAACGCTGACGCAACGCATGATTTGTTGAGCGTTTTCAGTTTTTTTGGAGACCTGAAAACGCTTTTTAACAAATGGTGTCCAAGACGCCGAGCTGAAAACGCTATAAAAAAGCCGCCCTGGGCAGATTCAAGATGAACCATCATCATCATCATCATCATCATCATCATCATCATCATCATCATCATCATCATCATCATCATCATCATCATCATCATCATAATCTCCCCATCATCATCATCATCATCATCATCATCATCATCATCAGCATCATCATCATCATCAGCATCAGCATCAGCATCAGCATCAGCATCAGCATCATCATCAATCTCCCCCTTCTACAACGGCGGCACTACGCGCGTGCCGAGTGGGCACCCAGCACGCCGCCCGCGGGGCTTTCCGCCCCTCGCCGCCAGACTCCGCGAAGCAGGGGGGGCTGTCCGAAAGGAGCGCCCGCGTCGCGCCACCCCGCCCCACCCCACGCCTCCACTTCCTCAGGCCCCCCTCCCCCTCCTCCTCCTCCTCCTCCTCCTCCTCCTCCTCCTCCTCCTCCTCCTCCTCCTCCTCGTCCTCCTCCGTCCTCCTCCTCTCCTCCCTCCTCCTCCTCCTCCTCCTGCTCCTCCTCCTCCTCCTCCTCCTCCTCTCCTTCGTCTGCTTGTTCTTCTTAGTATTAGCCTTCGTCTTATTAGTCTTATGGTTCGTATGGTGTTTCTCATAGTTCAAATTAGTGTTCTTACTCTATTCGTATTAGTAGTATGTGTCTTCTCTTGATACTAGTGTTACTATATTATCATTGTTATAATCAGTGAGATCGTCATTAACAATCCTACCGGTATTCGCCTTCTCCTTCGTAGTTGAGAATTACTAGTATGATACGTATCATTAGTAGTTTCATGCTTCTGAGTATGATCAATAATAGCACTGGTACTACGGTGGCCATGTTGATTATTACTAGAGTTACTGATGTTATTGGTATTACTGTTATTACCACTGTTTATAATATCCTTCATCCTTCCTCCTTCCTCCTCCTCCTCATCCTCCTTCTCCTCCAGTCCTTTTCCTTATACGTGAATTCCCCCTGTCGCACCCTGAGGCCAGTTTTTAGAGAGGGCTGGGCGCTTCGCCTGAGACTTCCTTTTCACTGGTGGCCCTGAAGCTGCAAAATTGGCCAAAGCTTTGCAGATGGAGGGCAGGTGGTTTTCAAAATGTGGCTCTCACCTTTAGCGCCGCGCACATTCGTTTGAAAATTCGCAGCAGTTTCACTGATTGAGGGCGGGTGGTTTTCAAAATGCGGCTCTCGCCTTAGCGCCGCGCACATTCGTTTTAAAAGTTCGCAAGATGTTCACGGATTCAGGCGGGTGGTTTTCAAAACAAGAGTTTCACGGATTCAGGGCGGATGGTTTTCAAAATGTAGTTCTCGCCTCAGCGCCGCGCACTTTCGTTTTCCCTAATTTGCAAGAGTTTCACGGATTGAAGGCGGGTGGTTTTGAAAATGTGGCTCTCGCCTTAGCGCCGCGCACTCTCGTTGAGCTTCACGGACTGAGGGCGGTTCCTTTTCAAAATGTGGTTCTCGCCTTAGCGCCTCGCACATTCGCTCTTAAAATGTGCAAGAGTTCCACGGATCCCCATGATCAGCATACCAGAAATGGCGCTTTGGAAAGATTCAGGATTATGAGGGCGCAACAGTTACGCTCATTCGCGGTGTTGAAGTCCAAGGGGCGGCGTTTTGGCACGACTCAGGCTCGTCAAAACGCAACACTCTTGTTGATCCGTGGCGTTTGGAGTCCCGAGAAGAATGCTTTGGCATGCTTCTGGGTCTTCAAACGGGTGTCTTCCAACGAGGCACGTCCCTCAGTGGAAATGAACCCTTGTAGGGGCCTATGAAGAAGAAGTTTGGGGGGAGGGTGTATTCCAACATCGTTGATGACTCTTGGGTTTAACCTGGTCCTCCTCCTCCTCCTCCTCCTCCGCCTCCAACTCCTTATACTCCTCCTCCTCCTTCTCCTCCTCCTCCTCCTCCTCCTCCTCCTCCTCCTCCTCCTCCTCCTCCTCCGTCTCCTCCTCCTCCTCCTCCTCCTCAACCTCCTTCCCTATTGCGTTTTCGACCATTAGCCCCTTGTCACCCATTGGCCTTGGGCGGGCTCTGGCGGTCTCCGCAGTTTCCTGGCGGTCTCCTGCTGTCTTCGGCGGTGTTCAGCGGTCTTCGGCGGATTCTGGCGGTCTTCGGCGCGGAAGCTGGACGATTGCGCTGAACAAGGAGTCCATGATCCCAGTCCCCCGACGTCATGATTTTTGTCACAACGTCGACCCCCAGAGGTCTCGACCCCGTCCCCAGGACGGATTTTTTGTCCTGAGTTGTTTTTGGACGGTCCCGAGGCCCAGAGAGGGCCCCTGGAGGCCGAAAATAGAGAAAAACCTCCCGTCGTGCTTTATTCACAACGCGAGGGGGTCCATGATCGAACACCGACCCACCCACCCCTCACGGCGCAGATCCAGGGAGCCTTCTCTCCTGAGGGGGCTGCCGTCCCAGATCTCCGACGATATGATGCTTTCAACCGGCGGGCTCTCCTCGACTCTGACCCTCCGGGGCCCCTGGCGGGCCGCTGGGCCATCAAAACTAGGTCCTGGACGAAAAGCTACGCCTGGGGCAGCAGTCGAGCCCTCTGGGCCGCGAATTGAACAGAACAGATCGGAAGATGTCAGCGGCCGCTGCTCCTCTTCTATTTCCATGAGCACTCCTGCTTGGTCGTGGCTCCTCCCCCTGATGGGCACCGCTATCTGCCAGGGACTCGCTCAGAGGGGGGGGGAGGGGGGCAAACATCGACCTGGAATCGGCGATACATCGCCGACAGATCGGCGATAGGGCCCTGGTAGCGAAGTTGCACGTTCCTGGGCGGGGTGGGCTATCCGGCGCCTGTCGGCGATGAATGGGCGATTCGGGGTCGATGGATGCGTTCCCTCCTGAGCCTGTCACCCCTAGCGTTCCCGCTGACCCTTATGAAGAAAATCCTGGAGGCCTCGCGCGGCAACTTGAGACCCAAGTTCCACTGGATCAACGTCAGTTTCACGTCGGATGCACGTCGGATTCACGTCGACTTTACCTAGGACTTACGTTGGAACGTCGCCGCGCGAACGTCGTCCCAGATCTGCCGGGACGGACGCGCGGACTAGACAGTACAACTATTGTGCGCATGGCGACCCCCCCCCCACGTGCCCCTTTCTTCTCCCCACTCTGCCACCCGCCCTTCGCACTCTGACGAGGAGACCGGGCGAGCGCGCCTTCCGGCCCCACCCCGGGAAGAGAGGAATTCAGGGCGCCGTCGCGAGCTTCCTGAATGGTTCAAAAACGAAACGGCTGCCATGCAGTGGTACGGCGGCGACGTTGGAAAGAGCAATATGCTGGTGCAGGGGCGTCCACGAGGAGGGCGCCCAAGAGGGAGGGTCGCGAATCACGGCTGGAGGCACGTGCGCAGACGAGGGGGGGCCAGGGGACGCATTGAAATAAGAGGAAGAAGCAGAAGAAGAAAATCAATAAGAAGAGAAAAAAAGAAGAGGCCATGAAAGCATGGGAGATATCACGGCTCTGGTAATTACCCACACCCCTCGAGTCGTCATCACCCCCCGCTTGGACGCCCCCGGCTGGTGGCGATAATGATCGCGGTGGCAGGAACGGTCATGGCGGCAATTGCTCCTGCCGGTGGCGGCTGCGACGACGGACGGCGGCGGCAATTGCGACGTCGACTGCTATGCGGTGGCGACGGCGGATGTGACAGCCAGCTGTAACCAAGACCGTATGTGCATGACAGACCACGTGTCCCTGAATGCGGGCATGATGGTGCCGAGAGGAGTGGCCACGGAGGGATTGCAACGGTGGCAACGGTCACTGCGACACACCGTATCCACCATATACATTTATCCGCCACCGCTCCCTGGCGCGTTGAGGCATGCTAGAATACCAAGTGCTGCCTGATATGGTTTTTGAAACCTTCTGAGGGACCACCCCCCTCCAGGCCGCACCTCGTCGCGAGCACCAGCCATGTTCCCGGGGGGTCCCTGGGCGGTCATGTCGCCTCCCTCCATGACAGCCCAGGACTCCGCCAAGACAGTCCAAGAGGGCCCCGAGTCGCCGAACGATAGCCCGAAGACGCCCAAGATGGCTTCAAGATGGCGCAAGAGCCTTCCCAGGCGCCCCAGGAAGGCCTCCAAGAGGTCTCCCAAGAGGGCCCCCCAAAAGTAAGAATCATTGATTTCCCTTGCGTTTTTTAAGGATGTTAGCGTGCTCGCATTTCCGGCTTTCCGACGCTCCAAGACGGCAAAACAAGCCCCCGAGATCACCCCAACGCCCAAGAGGTCTCCACGAGGGCCCCAAGCCGGCCTAAAAGCGCCCCAGAACGGCCCAAGAGGCGACCAAGACGGCCTAAGAGGGCCCCAAGACGGCCCCAAAAGGAACCCCTGAGAGAGTCAGGACACCCCAAGAGGCGCCCAAGAGGCCGCAATAGGCTTTGCCCCCCGCAGGAGGTCCCCAGAGGCCCCAAGAGACCCCCAAAGAGGTCCAGAGGCCCCAAAACAGGCCCCAAGAGGCTTCAAAACTGCCTCCAAGAGGACCCCGAGAGGCCTCCCAAGGGATTCCAACGAACATCCACTAGGCTTATGACCCACATCCCATGCAAGGTGGCGAGACTAGCCGTAAGCAACTACATATATATATATATATATATATATACACACACACATACAAACATATATATATATACACATACATACACACCGACATGCAGACATATGTACATACACACATACATACATACATACATACATACATACATACATACATACATACATGCATACAGACAGACAGACAGGCAGACAGACAGACAGACAGACAGACAGACAGACAGACAGACAGACATGTATACATACATACATACATACGTACGTGCATACATATACACACTTGCTTACAAACATACATAGATACATACAAATACATGTACATGCACATATGCACACATATATACATACACATTCGCACATCAAACTACAACTACATATACGTGATCCAGGGTCGAGGGCCCACGGCCCCCCCCCCCAGATGGTATGGTCCCAGGATTCCTCGGGCCCCCCCCCCCCCAGATGGTATGGTCCCAGAGACGACGACGCCGACGACGACGACGACGACGACGACGGCGACTACGACGACGACGACGACGACGACGACGACGACCACGACGACGACAACGACGGCTGCGGCGGCGACGACGCCGGCGGCGGCGGCGAAGACGACGATGACGACGATGACGACGGCGACGACGACGATGACGACGACGACGACGACGATGACGACGACGACGACGACGAGGACGACGAGGACGACGAGGACGACGAGGACGACGACGACGACGACGACGACGACGACGACGACGACGACGACGACGACGACGACGACGACGACGACGACCTCTGAACCACCACAGCACCACACCACATCCACAGGGGGGGGGAGGGGGGCACCGCAGCGCAGCACCACGCCACGCCCACCTCTGAACCACCACAGCACCACACCACATCCACAGGGGGGGGGGGAACCGCAGCGCAGCACCACGCCACGCCCACAGGGGGGGGCGGGGGGGACCATCGCGCGGGGGGGGGGCCCAATGGGGCCAAGCCCTGGACCATACATATACACATACCTGTATGACAGTACGAATACCCATACATATACATATACATATACACAAACACGTACATGTACGTAGACATATGCATACACATAGACATAATCATACACATGTGCATATTCATGTACATGTACATATCCATATGCACATGCATATGCAGTTGTATGTGTATGCACATATACTTATAAATACGTATATACATATACATAAGACTGTCATACATATGCATGAACGAAAACCTGAACATAGGCATGTACATACACATATGCAAATACATGTTCATACACATCAACATGAGCATATACATACACATGTACGTGTATATACAAATATAAATACATACACATATATAAACATATGCATATGTACGCCAGCATATGTGTGAATATAAAATGTGTACATGTGTGTACGTACTTGGATGTATGTACGCATGTGGTTTGCTTAACATATGTACAGACTGCACGTATACACAAATATCTATATACAAATATGCACATGCATATATGGTCCAGGGCTTGGGCACCCCCCCCCCCCCCTTCCAATGCTGATGCCATTGGGCCCCAACCCCCCACCCCCCGCGCGATGGTCCCCCCCGCCCCCCCCTGTGGGCGTGGCGTGGTGCTGCGCTGCGGTGCCCCCCTCCCCCCCCTGTGGATGTGGTGTGGTGCTGTGGTGGTTCAGAGGTGGGCGTGGCGTGGTGCTGCGCTGCGGTGCCGCCCTCCCCCCCCTGTGGATGTGGTGTGGTGCTGTGGTGGTTCAGAGATCGTCATCGTCGTCGTCGTCGTCGTCGTCGTCCTCGTCGTCCTCGTCGTCCTCGTCGTCCTCGTCGTCCTCGTCGTCGTCGTCGTCGTCATCGTCGTCGTCGCCGTCGTCGTCGTCCTCGTCGTCGTCGCCGCCGCCGCCGGCGTCGCCACCGCCGCAGCCGTCGTCGTCGTCGTGGTCGTCGTCGTCGTCGCGGTCGTCGCCGTCGTCGTAGTCGTCGCCGTCGTCGTCTTCGTCGTCGTCGTCTCTGGGACCATACCATCTGGGGGGGGCGGCCCGAGTAATCCTGGGACCATACTATCTGGGGGGGGGCCCGTGGGCCCGGAGCCTGGGATCATATATACAAGTGTACATATATATATATATATATATATATATATATATATATATATATATATTCATGCATAGACAAAAACACAAGCTTACAAGTACACATACATATACAATTATATACATGCACATACGCATACATACAGCAATGCATGAATGCCGACATAAACAGCCATACGTGCATACATACAGACATATATACAAGCATCCACACGAGTACACATATACACACAGACACATGTACACCTATACACAGTTAAACATATGCACGGGCTCATGTGCATATAGATGTACTGAGAACTGGTCAGAGACATTTATACGGATCTACACACATGCATATACGGAGTCACATACAACTGCTTGCACATATACATACGAAGGTACATAATATATAAATGTGCATATACCTGATGTTTTTTTTTATATATACGTACACATGTACATATACACATACGTATACACACATTGACATATTAGTATATATCTATATACACACAAACACATACATAGACCATTAACTGTGAATACGCAAAGGCATCGAAATATACATATGCATGTACATGTACATACATGTAAACATAGATATATACACCTAAATATACACATGCATCTACATATACATATACAGATAATCATAGATGTCCACGCTCATACAAATCAACAACAAGATTGTATTAAGTTGAAAAGTGTACTCAATAATTCTCATAAACATACACATATGCACATACATATACACATACAGATACACATACATATACGCATACATATAGACATACATAGGCATGATCATAAACATATGCGTGCACCTACACGTATACATCTACATATGTTTGTACATCTACGACACGGCGCGCGCGCAGAACTCGCAAAGGGGGGGGGCCATAGCTACCGCCACCCTTGGGCCCCCCTTGCTGGAAGCTACCTCCCCCCTCCCCCTCTTTTTGGTCCCCCCCCGGAAACTACTTCCCCCTCCTCCCCTCCCCCCTTTTGCCGGTCCAGAAGCTACCCCCACCCCTCCACTCCCCCCCCCTCCACTCCCCCCCATGCACTGATGCCCACAGTGCGCTGCAAGGCGCGCAAGTGCGCGCGGGCGTTGCAAGTCGCGAGTGCCGGCACCGCTGGGCACTGACCATGCCCCAACGCGCGTAGCACGCCGCGTAGGAGCGCCAAAGCATAGCGCGCCGTGCATGCGCAACTGCATCACAGGGCACGGGCAGTGCCCCCGGCGCGCTGAGCAGCACATGGGTGCGCATAGGTAGCGCGCACCGCGAGGCATGCACTGCCGCGCAGTGGCAATGCGCAGGCGTGCACCCCGCCAGCGACTCCTGAGTGATCGGACAATTGCCACTGAAAAGATAAACGTGCACAGCGCTGTCCGGAGCTGCAATGGCTGAGGGCGCACAGATTGCCGCGTGGCCGCGTGCCTAGACCGAATGGCACAGCGTACGGCGTTAACGCGATCTTGCGGCTGATGGCACAACAAACGTGTCAGCGCGCCTGAAGCTGCACACTCCGTGCACCGTGCGTCCGAAAGCCAGGATGCACCGCATGCATTAGAGCGTGGGACACCATGTCTTGTTGTCAAGTCAATGGCACAGCCTTGCCCCGATTGCCTGTCAAGGAGGTGAACGGGCGGCCTGCCAGTGGCGAGGCTAACATGTGGTTGTGGCCAGGGCCGCGCGCGATGTAGCGCGTAGAGTGGGTCACTTTCTGATTATTTGGGGAAGGGTGCGTGACAAGGTTTCCAAACAGCACGCGGAACGACAGCAATATGTCAGCGACATGCCTGGACGCCTCGTCCTGGAACAGCGCTCGTGTAGCTGGTAGTGAAGTTCCTGTCGAAGACCGCGTCGAGGAAGAACCAGAAGAAGACGAAGTACGGCGGCTCGGAATTGCCGAACGGGTATAAGAGGCAGATGAAGCGAAGAACCCAAGTGAGCAACGGTCGTGGCGTAGCCGACGTGTTGGCTGCATCTGGGCGCGGTGTCTGCAACACTCGCGGGCTGCGTGTCTGGCCGGCTGCGGCCCACAATCGAGACAGGCACACGCATTGACGATCTCACGCTGGTGCTGAATGGTTTGCTGCCCCCGAACGCCAAGATGGGAATCCTCCACGATACGACCCAAGCACGATGTGAGCTGCGGAAGCGACGTTGGGCTCGGGCCTACGCAAGGACGAACACCATGTTGAAGCAGGTGGCAGCAATAGTAATGTTGTCACCCTAGACGGGTGCCCAGGGTGGTGAGATAGGTATAGTAGCACTCAGTGCTCCACTCGAGAGGCGCGGCGCGCTCGCAAGGACAGCCAACATTGTCGCACACATCACGAGGTACGGCTGTAACCAAGCGGGAGGCCTCGCAGTCACGCCCGACGCGAAGCGGCGGCCAGTGCCTGTGGGGTGTGATGGGTCGGGGAACGTCGTGGCGCTCCCATGGGCGAGTCGCTTCAAATCGCGGTAACGCCTGCGGCTGCCGTTGCCCTGCGCAACTGGACTCCGACACGCCTCATACGGCATACGGCGTTTGTCGTCATCGTCGCGTGTGAACGTCCAGGGCGAATTGCTAACCAGACGGTGTGCAAAACAACCGTGAACACAGGCTGCTTGTGGAACGGAGGTTGGTACCAATGAAGAGCTTGGGGAGAATGCGAATGTGCGCCCACATCGCGCTATGCGCAGCCCCATGGATCGCGAACTGGATCGAAAAATGGGATCGAACTGGGATCGCGAACTGGGAATTGCGGGTGGCAGTGGTAAAAGGTCAGAGACATGGCGACCATGGTAACATGAGAGATAGCAGAGCGGCGGTCTTTTCCCTCTCAACACTGGACACGTTCGCGGGCCCGCTGTGAGCGAGTCGGCAGCGGACCACTCCTATTCGAGTGAGGAGGGGGAGGAGGAGGAAAAGGAGGAGGAGGAGGAGGAGGAGAAGGAGGAGGAGAGCAGGAGGAGGAGGAGGAGGAGGAGGAGGAGGAGGAGGAGGAGGAGGAGAGGAGGGAGCGAGGAGACGAGTCAGGATAGAGGAGGGGTGAGGATACTGTATACACGTACGATGCGATTATCTTGATCTGAGAAATCTTGGGACACCTTTATTCGTCGATCTTTGAGGGCCCTGCGGTGCCCGAGAGCTTCTGCGGGTCCAACGAGCTATCGGGGAGAACGCAACTTCCGTGGGGTACCCGCTGGCAGGCCGATCCCTTATCTGACGTGCGGAATTTACGACGGAGAAGAAGAGGGAGGCGTAAAGCGCGAGCACGCGCGCGAACTCCCTGGCACACCCAGAAATGGGTTGAGAAAACGTGGGCACGATGCACAACCGCAAGCGTTGTCCAGAACCGACAGCGGCCGCTATCTGGCAGGCGTCTTTTTGTCTCAACTGGACAACGTCCGCGGCGACGCCGACAGCGAGCCCTGGCCAAAATGGACGAGAACTGCTGTCGGGACTCCAATGGGGGCCTGGTTAGGGGAAGGGTCTGATTTGAGCTGTCCTGGAGGGTTCTGGGAGGTCTGGGCAAAAGGCCGCCCCTTCCTGGTTGGCCTGGGGGGGTCTACACCTGCTTTTCTGGGACGGTTGCGACTCCCACCCTGCATGATGAAACCCAAAAAGTCTTCGGCATTCGTCACCATTTTGTTCCGTACCGATCTCGATCGTACCGACCTCGGGGTCGGCGCAGCACAGCTGCGCACAGCCTACACGCAAGGGCGAGGCACGGTTTGTGCGAGTCCTACGGGTGCCCAGCGCCCCCTGCTGAGCGCTGGAATGCTGGCAGGCGGCGCGGCGCTGAAGACATTCGTCGGCCCACCGGGCCAACGGCGTGTCAGACTGGGGCCGGCACGGGAACGGAAAAAAGAGCGCTTCAGAAAATTGCCCGACGCGGCTCCTGGCACTGTTCGCTCTTGGGAGCATTGGCGTTCAGAACTCGTCACGTTACTGTACGCTTTTGGAAGCCTCGGTGCTGCGGGCTGCTTCATGTCACTTTGAACTCTTAGGAGCCGTGGTCTCAAGAGCTGTTTATGTCACCGTTCGCTCTTAGGGGGCCTTGACGTTCAGAGCTTTTGGGAGCCTTGATGTTACGAGCTTGTCACGTCACGATGGGCTCGTGGAGGCATTTGTGTTACGAGCTGTTCACGTAGCCGCTCGCTCTTGAGAGCCTTGGCGTCAACAGCTTGCCACTTTTCACGTCACGATGGGCTCGTGGGGGCGATGTTGTTACGAGCCTTTCACGTGACCACTCGCTCTTGAGAGCCTTTGCGTCAAGCGCTCGTCACGTTTCACGTCACGATGAGCTCGTGGGGGCATTGCTGTTACGAGCTTTCCACATAACCGCTCGCTCTTGAGAGCCTTGGCGTCGAGAGCTTTTCACGCCACTGCTCACTCTTCGGGGCCTTGGCGTTCAGAGCTTTCTGCGCCACCGCTCGCTCTTGCTTGTGAGCCTCAGCTTTGCGAACTGCTTCACGTTACCGTTCGCTTCTGGGGGCCCTGATGTTAAGAGCTTTGTTACGACAGCGTCACTCTTTGGCATGACTTTGGCCTTTCCAAGTCTTCTTGGGGGTCATGGCAGGGCCCGATTGGGACCCTTTTGGGCCCCTGTTGGGGGGCCATGGCCGTCCCAGTCCCTCTTGGTGGCCTCTTGGAGCTCCTTTGGAGGCCTCTTGGGGCCCTCTCGGGCCGTCTTGGGGGCCTCTTGGGGACCTCCTGCAGTCTTGGAGCCCTCTTGGGCCGTCTCGGGGCTCTCCTGGGCCGTTTTGGGGCCCTCTTGGGGGCCCCTTGGGCCGTCTTGGGCCGTCGGAAGCCCGAAAAGCTAAGAACCATCAAAACCTTCTGAACAACTCAAGGAAAACCAATGCTTTTGGCCTCATGAAGCCCTCTGGGGTGTCCTCTTGAGGGCCCCTTGGGCTGTCTTGGGGCCCTTTTGGACAACCTTGAGGCCATCGTACGCCATCTTGGAACGCTACTGGGTGTTCTGGGGCTCTCTTGGAGCGCTCTTCGGTCGTTTCGAAGCCCTCCCTTGGGCCATATTGCGCGCCTCTTGGGCCGTCTTGGGGGCCTCTTCGGAGGGAGAGGGCGTGTTAATCCGAGATTGTTCGCTCTTCGCACATCACTCGTAATGACCTGGCGTTGTCAGTCACCTGGGCCAGCACGGGAACAGAAAGAGCGATTCGGGAACTTGCCCGAGAGGGCTCATGGCACCGTTCGCTCTGGGGAGTATTGGCGTTAAGAGTTGTTTACGTCACCATTCGCTCTTAGGGGCGTTGGTGTGAAGAGCTGTGCGCATCACCGTTCGCTCTTGGAAGCCTTGGAGTTATGAGCTGTTTACGTCACCGTTTATTAGTGGGAGCCTTGGTATGATGATCTGTTTCACGTCACCGTTCGCTCTTGGGAGCCTTGGTGTTCAGAGCTTTTACTTCACTGCTCACTCTTGGGAGCCTTGGCGTTCAGAGCTTTTCACGTCACCGGCTTGTACAAAAATGGCTTTCCAATCACCTGGTTCTCTTGGGAGCCTTGGCGCCAAAGCTGCGTCCGTCACTAAGCCGTTCCGGGGTGTCTCCTGGGGCCCCTTTTGGGTGTTGGGGCCCTCTTGGGCCGCTCTGGGGCCCTCGTGGGGCCCTCTTCGGCCATCTCGGCGGCCTCCTTCGGCCCTCTGGGGGCTCTCTTGCGGGCCACTTGGGGCCCAAGACTGCCCAGGGGTCCTCCACGACGGCCCCAAGACGGCCCACGAGGGCCCCAAGACTGCCCGGGAGACCCCCAAGGCGGCCCCTGGAGGGCCCCAGGAGAAATCCAAGGCGGCCCAGCGAGGGCTCTAGAACGGCATCCAGAGGCGCCAGACAGCCCACGAGCATCCGAAGACGGGGCCCGCAGGCAGGCCCCGGGACGGCCCAAGAGGGGGAAAATCGAGCTGTTTCGGGCGACCCTGCCCCCATGATGGCCCCAAGGGGACCCAAGAGGCCCGAAAGATGCCTCCAAGAGGCGAGGCCTCCCTCGAACGCTTCGAAGAAAACAAAACCACTGTACCTAGCAGTCTTGGCGTGCTCGCCCTGTCGGGTTCCAGTGAGGGCCTTAAGCCCGAGGTGGCACCAAGAGAGCCTCAAGAACTGTCCAAAGAGCCTCAATAAAGAGGGCCCCATGATCCCCCAAGAGGGCGCAGGAAGGCTCCAGGAGGACCCCAGGAAGCCCAAGAGCGGCCTTAGAAAGGGCACCGAGGGGCGGCAGGCCCCAGGATGGCCCCAAGCCAGAGGCCGCAAGAAGCCCCTCAGAGGCCCCCAGGAAGCCCCCAAAGGCCTCCCAGAGACCACCCACGAGGTCCCCCAGAATGCTCCAGCAGCCCACGATTTCTTCCAACTCACTACTCGTTTCCTTCAGCGTCGAAAGCGAAACTTGGCTGTGGGCGGTATCCTGTGAGTACTGGGCTCAATATACCAAGCGGCTGTTTCTCCCCCACGCGAGCTTCACACGGCAGCTTGGAGACACTACCTCCACCCAACAGCTTTCCAGTGCCCACGAGCACCGCGGAAAACGGCAAGGATGCTACAACAGGGGCGGGCGGAGTGCGCGAAGCGGTGGTAGAGAAAACTGAGCGGAGAAAATTAGGCGAGACATGCCCGTCACCGTGCCACCAAGCGGGCTCGATCGAGTTCCGCGGGGGCACAGGTTCCCTGGCACCTCCGCATCCTCCTCCTCCACGTCCTCCGCCTCGGCTGGTGCACGAGTCGGCTCAGTACACCTCGACGTGGTAGCGGTGGTTCTTCTTCATCTCCTTCGCGAACTCCTTCCAGTCGACACCTGCCTTCGCCGCGAGGGGCGAGAAGCACTCCTCCATGCCCGCCTCCATGCCCTTCAGGCCGCACATGTAGATGTGGGTCTTTGGAGACTGCATCAGCTCCCAGAGCTCCTCCGCGTACTCCGCCATCCTCGTCTGGATGTACATCCTCTGGCCCGCGGCGTTCTTCTGCTCACGCGAGATCGCGTAGTCGGCGCGGAACTGGTCGGGGAACTGCTTCGTGTACTCGTCGTGCTCGTCGACGTAGAGCAGCGAGTTCGAGTAAGGGACGCCGAGGAAGAGCCACGCCAAGCCCTGAAACTTGCGGGTGCCGTCGGGGTTGGCGCCGACCTTGTCGTGGAAGAGCAGGCGCATGTAGGAGCGCATCGGCGCGATGCCGGTGCCCGTCGCGAGCATGATGATGTTGCAGTCCTGCTCATTCGGCAGCAGCATCTCGGCGCCGGTCGGGCCCGTGATCAGGACCTCGTCACCCTCGCTCATGTCGCAAATGTGGTTCGAGCACACGCCGCGGTAGACCTTGGCGTCGGGGAAGCAGGTGCCGGCCTTGTCAGGCTTGTCTTCTCCGACCTCGCGGTTGGAGTGCTTGAGGGGCCACTTCTCCTCCTCCACCTCGACGACACGCTTGACGCAGAGGGAGACCGTCTTGGAGTCCTGGCAGTCACCGACGGCCGACGAGCCGATGGAGTAGAGACGAATCTTGGCCGGGGTCTCGCCCTTCTTGTCGGGGCCGGGCGCGATGACCCCGATGGACTGTCCCTCCACGTAGGGCACCTTGCCCCCGTGGTCGAAGGTCACGTGCGTCGTCTCCCAGTTGGCATCGCCAGGGGAGCTGCTGTTGGGCTTGGTGATGGTGTGCGCCTGCACGTCGTTCTTAATCACTTTGCCCTGGTACGGCGCCTTCGGCATGAACAGGTTCCATGGGATCTCCCTGCCGTCCAGCTGCTGGACGACCTTCACGCCCTTCTTCTTCACCGCGGCCGCGCGGCGCGTGACCACCGAGGAGCCCACGGCGATGGCCGCCGCGCCCAACCCGACCGTGGCCGGGATGCCCGCGAAGGAGCTCGCCTCTGGCGCGGATGATCGGCCAGCCCGCAGGCGCGGAGCGGCCTCGGGCGCCACGGCGGGGGGGGCGGCGACAAACGCCAGCGACATCGTCCACGGGGCAAGAGGCTCGGAGTCTGCGGCAGGGGCGGGCAGCCCTATGGGGGTGGCACTGCACGAGTCGGGCTGCGCGCTGTGCTGCGCCCAGTGCTGCCCCCCCTTCGGACTCCTCCTCCTCCTCCTCCTCCTCCTCCTCCTCTTCCTCCTCCTCCTGTTCCTCCTCCTCCTCCTCCTCGAAACTCCATCATCCATCCTCCATCCTCTATCCTCCAACTTCCATCCTCCATCCTCATTCCTCCATCCTCCATACTCATTCCTCCATCCTCCTCCATACTCCATTTCCTCCTCCTCCTCCTCCAAACTCCATCCTCCATCCTCCATCCTCCAACTTCCGTCTTCCATCCTCATTCCTCCATCCTCCATACTCAGTCCTCCATACTCCTCCATACTCCATCTCCTCCTCCTCCTCCTCCTTCTCCTCCTCCTACTCCTACTCCTACTCCTACTCCTCCTCCTCCTCCTCCACTCCTCCTCCTCCTCCCTCCTCCTCCTCCTTCCTCCTCCTCTCTCATCATCATCATCATCATCATCATCATCATCAGCAGCAGCAGCATCCTCATCAACATCAACATCATCATCATCATCATCATCATCATCATCAGCAGCAGCATCATCATCAGCATCATCATCATCATCATCATCATCATCATCGTCATCATCAGCATCATCAGCATCAGCATCATCATCATCATCATCATCATCATCAGCAGCATCAGCATCATCATCATCACCAGCATCATCATCATCATCATCATCATCATCAGCATCATCATCATCATCATCATCATCATCATCATCATCATAATCATCATCATCATCGTCATCATCATCATCATCATCATCATCATCATCATCCCCCTCCTCAACCTCCCCCTGTTCCTCCTCCTCTTCCTCCTCCTACTCCTCCTCCTCCTCCTCGTCCTTCTCCTCCTCCTCCCCCTCCTCCTCCCCCTCTTCTTCTTCTCCGTATCATTACTATATGATTGCTGTTCGTCTTCTTCTTATCAGTAATAATATTTTTGTTCTTCCTTCTCCTCCTACTCATCCTCCTCCTCCACCTCCTCCTATTCCTCCTCCTCCACCGCCTCCACCGCCTCCACCGCCTCCTCCGCCTCCTCCTCCTCCGCCTCATCCTCCTCCTCATCATCATCGTCATCATCATCATCATCATCATCAGCATCAGCATCAGCATCATCATCATCATCATCATCATCATCATCATCAGCATCATCATCAACATCCTCCATTCCTTTTCCTTCTAAACAACTTCTCCCTGTCGCACCCCGAGGCCAGTTTTGAGGGCGGGCTTGGCGTTTCGCCTGAGACGCCCTCACCATTTATGAAGACTAGCAATAGCCTCACAGAGGGAGGGCGGATGGTTTTCAACATGTGGCTCTCGCCTTAGTGCGGCACCCATTCGCTATAACAATTTGCAAGAGCTTCACGGATTGAGGGCGGGTGGTTTTCAAAATGTGGCTCTCGCCTTAGCGTCGCGCGCATGCGGTCTAACAAGCTGCAAGCGCTTCACAGATTGAGGGCGGGCGGTTTTCAAAATGTGGTTCTTGCCTTAGCGCGACGTACATTCGTTATACAAATGTGCAAAGGCCTCACGGATTGAGGGCGGTTCCTTTTCAAAATGTGGTTCTCGCTTTAGCGTCGGGCACACTCGTTTTACAAACATGCAAGGGCTTCACTGATTGAGGGCGGTTCCTTTTCAAAATGTGGTTCGCCTTAGCGCGGCACACATCCGTTTCAAATTTGCAAAAATGTCACGGAATCCCGCCATCAGCGTACCAGAAGTGGTGTTTTGCAAGGGTGCAGGATTATGCGGGCGCAACAGTTACGTTCATTCTCGGCGTTGAAGTCCTAGGAATGGCGTTCTGGCACGATTCATGATCGTCAAGACGCAACAGTCAGGTTGGTCCGTGGCGTTGGTTGGAATTCCGAACACATGTTTGGGGGCATGCTTCAAGATCTTCAAACGGGTGGCGTCCAACGAAGCAGTTCGAGCACTGGAAATGAACCGTTGTATGGGGCCTATAAAAGGGGGAGCTTGGAGGGAGGGTGGATTCAAACATCGTTGATGACTCTTGGATTTACACTGGTCCTTTTTCCTCCTCCTCCTCCTCAGGTCCTCCTCCTCCTCCTCCTGATCAACCTCCTGCTTAGATGCTCCTCCTCCTCCTCCGCAGCTCCTCCTCCTCCTCCTCCTCCTCATCCTCCTCCTCCTCCTCGGGTCCTCCTCCTCCTCCTCCTCCTCCTCCTCCTCCTCCTCCTCCTCCTCCTCCGTCTCCGCCGCCTCCTCCTCCTCCTTCCTTCACCTTCCTCCTCCTCCTCCTCCACCTCCTCCTCCTCTTCCTCCTCCTCCTTTCCGCGTCCTCATCTCCCTCCGTAGAATCTTCCTTTTCCGCTGCATCCTCATCATCATCATCATCATCATCAGCATCATCATCATCAGCAGCAGCAGCCGCATCGTCATCATCATCGTCATCATCATCATCATCAGCAGCAGCATCATCATCCTCAGTATCATCATCATCATCATCATCATCATCATCATCATCAGCAGCAGCAGCATCATCATCTTCAGCAACAGCCGCAGCCTCAGCATCATCACCACCCTCATCATCATCATCATCATCAGCAGCAGCATCATCATCGTCATCATCATCAGCACCATCATCATCAGCAGCATCAGCATCAGCATCTAAATCAGCATCAGCATCAGCATCATCATCATCGTCCTCAGCATCACCATCATCCGCAGCAACCCCATGATGATCATCATCATCATCATCATCATCATCATCATCATCAGCATCAGCATCAGCATCATCATGAGTACCAGCAGCAGCAGCAGTATTTTCACCATCCTCAGCATCATCACCACCATCATCATCATCAGCATCATCAGTAGCATCATCATCATCATCATCATCATCATCATCATCATCACCATCATCACCATCATGATCATCATTAGCAGCAGCAGCATCAGCATCATCATCGCCACCATCATCACCATCAGCATCATCATCAACAACATCATCATCAGCAGCAGCATCAGCATCTACATCACCATCAGCATCATCATTGTCATCAGCGTCATCATCATCAGCATCAACACCATGATCATCATCATCATTATCAACGTCAGTAGCAACAGCAGCAGTGTTATCACCATCCTCAGCATCATCATCAGCAGCATCATCATCATCCTCATCAGCATCAGCAGCCTCATCATCACCATCATCATCAGCAGCAGTAGCATCAACCTCATCATCATCATCATCAGCATCATCATCGTCATCAGCATCAGCATCACCATCATCATCATCATCATCATCATCATCATCAAGATCAGCATCATCAGCATCAGCATCATCAGCGTCATCGCCAGCAGCATCAACATCGTCATCGTCATCATCAGCATCATCATCACCAGCAGCAGCATCATCATCAGCAGCATCAGCATCGTCATCATCAGCATCATCATAAACAACAACATCATCATCATCATCATCATCATCATCATCATCTGCATCAGCATCAGAATCATCATCAGCATCATCAGCATCATCAGGATCATCGTCATCATGATCATATCATCAGCAGCAGCAGCATCAGAATCATCATCAGCATCATCATCATCATCAGCATCAGCACCATGATCATCATCATCATCATCATCATCATCAGTAGCAGCAGCAGTATTATCACCATCCTCAGCATCATCCTCATCATCATCAGCATCAGCAGCAGCAGCATCAGCATCGTTGTCATCAGCATCGTCATCATCATCATCAGCATCGTCATCATCATCGTCATCAGCAGCAGCATCCGCATCATCATCATCATCATCATCATCATCATCAGCATAAGCATCATCATCATCAGCAGCAGCAACAGCATCAGCATCCTCATCAGCATGCTCATCATCATCATCATCATCATCATCATCATCATCATCATCATCATCATCACCATCATCATCATCATCATCATCATCATCATCATCATCAGCAGCATAAGCATCATCATCATCAGCAGCATCATCATCATCATCATCGTCATCATCATCATCATCATCAGCATCAGCATCACCATCAGCATCATCATCATCATCATCATCATCATCATCGTCATCGTTAGCATCATCAGCATCGTCATCGTCGTAGACATCCTCAGGATCATCATCATCATCACCACCACCACCATCATCATCATCATCATCATCATCATCATCATCATCATCATCATCATCATCATCATCATCGTTAGCATCATCAGCATCGTCATCGTCGTAGACATCCTCAGGATCATCATCATCACCACCACCACCATCATCATCATCATCATCATCATCATCATCATCATCATCATCATCATCATCATCATCGTTAGCATCATCAGCATCGTCATCGTCGTAGACATCCTCAGGATCATCAGCATCATCACCACCACCACCATCATCATCATCATCATCATCATCATCATCATCATCGTTAGCATCATCATCATCATCATCATCAGCATCGTTAGCATCATCAGCATCGTCATCGTCGTAGACATCCTCAGGATCATCATCATCACCACCACCACCATCATCATCATCATCATCATCATCATCATCATCAATCTCCCCCTCCTACGGCGGCACTACGCGCGTGCCGAGTGGGCACCCAGCACGCCGCCCGCGGGGCTGTCCGCCCCTCGCCGCCAGACTCCGCGAAGCAGGGGGGGCTGTCCGAAAGGAGCGCCCGCGTCGCGCCACCCCGCCCCGCCCCACGCCTCCACTTCCTCAGGCCCCTCCTCCTCCTCCTCCTCCTCCTCCTCCTCCTCCTCCTCCTCCTCCTCCTCCTCCTCCTCGTCCTCCTCCTCGTCCTCCTCCTCCTCCTCCTCCTCCTCCTCCTCCTCCTCCTCCTCCTCCTCCTCCTCCTCCTCCTCCTCTCCTCCTCCTCCTCCTCCTCCTCTCCTTCGTCTGCTTGTTCTTCTTAGTATTAGCCTTCGTCTTATTAGTATATGATTCGTATAATGATTCTTATCTTTCCGTGTAGTGTTCTTTCTCTTATGTGTATTAGTAATGTGTGTCTTCTCTTGGTACTAATGTTACTATATTATTCTTGTTATAATCATTGAGATCGTCATTAACAATCCTACCGGTTTTCGTCTTCTCCTTCGTAGTTGAGAATTACTAGTATGATACGTATCATTCGTGGTTTCATGCTTCTGAGTATGATCAACAATAGCACTGGTACTACGGTGGCCATGTTGATTATTACTAGAGTTACTGATGTTATTGGTATTTTTGTTATTACCACTGTTTATAATATCCTTCATCCTTCCTCCTTCCTCCTCCTCCTCATCCTCCTCCTTCTCCTCCTCCAGTCCTTTTCCTCATACGTGAATTCCCCCTGTCGCACCCTGAGGCCAGTTTTTAGAGCGGGCTGGGCGCTTCGCCTGAGACTTCCTTTTCACTGGTGGCCCTGAAGCTGCAAAATTGGCCAAAGCTTTGCAGATGGAGGGCAGGTGGTTTTCAAAATGTGGCTCTCACCTTTAGCGCCGCGCACATTCGTTTTGAAAATTCGCAGCAGTTTCACTGATTGAGGGCGGGAGGTTTTCAAAATGCGGCTCTCGCCTTAGCGCCGCGCACATTCGTTTTAAAAGTTCGCAAGATGTTCACGGATTCAGGCGGGTGGTTTTCAAAACAAGAGTTTCACTGACTCAGGGCGGATGGTTTTCAAAATGTAGTTATCGCCTCAGCGCCGCGCACTTTCGTTTTCCCTAATTTGCAAGAGTTTCACGGATTGAAGGCGGGTGTTTTTGAAAATGTGACTCTCGCCTTAGAGCCGCGCACTCTCGTTGAGTTTCACGGACTGAGGGCGGTTCCTTTTCAAAATGTGCTTCTCGCCTTAGCGCCTCGCACATTCGCTCTTGAAATGTGCAGGAGTTCCACGGATCCCCATGATCAGCATACCAGAAATGGCGCTTTGGAAAGATTCAGGATTATGAGGGCGCAACAGTTACGCTCATTCGCGGTGTTGAAGTCCAAGGGGCGGCGTTTTGGCACGACTCAGGCTCGTCAAAACGCAACAGTCTTGTTGATCCGTGGCGTTGGAGTCCCGAGAAGAATGCTTTGGCATGCTTTTGGGTCTTCAAACGGCTGTCTTCCAACGAGGCACGCCCCTCAGTGGAAATGAACCCTTGTAGGGGCCTATGAAGAAGGAGTTTGGGGGGAGGGTGTATTACAACATCGTTGATGACTCTTGGGTTTAACCTGGTCCTCCTCCTCCTCCTCCTCCTCCTCCTCCTCCTCCTCCTCCTCCTCCTCCTCCTCCTTCCCTATTGCGTTTTCGACCATTAGCCCCTTGTCACCCATTGGCCTTGGGCGGGCTCTGGCGGTCTCCGCAGTTTCCTGGCGGTCTCCTGCTGTCTTCGGCGGTGTTCAGCGGTCTTCGGCGGATTCTGGCGGTCTTCGGCGCGGAAGCTGGACGATTGCGCTGAACAAGGGGTCCATGATCCCAGTCCCCCGACGTCATAATTTTGTCACAACGTCGACCCCCAGAGGTCTCGACCCCTTCCCCAGGACCGATTTTTTGTCCTGAGTTGTTTTTGGACGGTCCCGAGGCCCAGCGAGGGCCCATGGAGGCCGAAAATAGAGAAAAACCTCCCGTCGTGCTTTATTCACAGCGCGAGGGGATCCATGATCGAACACCGACCCACCCACCCCTCACGGCGCAGATCCAGGGAGCCTACTCTCCTGAGGGGCTGCCGTCCCAAATCTCCGACGATATGATGCTTTCAACCGGCGGGCTCTCCTCGACTCTGGCCCTCCGGGGCCCCTGGCGGGCCGCTGGGCCATCAAAACTAGGTCCTGGACGAAAAGCTACGCCTGGGGCAGCAGTCGAGCCCTCTGGGCCGCGAATTGAACAGAACAGATCGGAAGATGTCAGCGGCCGCTGCTCCTCTTCTATCTCCATGAGCACTCCTGCTTGGTCGTGGCTCCTCCTCCTGACGGGCACCGCTATCTGCCAGAGACTCGCTCAGAGGGGGGGGAGGGGGGGCGAACATCGACCTGGAATCGGCGATACATCGCCGACAGATCGGCGATAGGGCCCTGGTAGCGAAGTTGCACGTTCCTGGGCGGGGTGGGCTATCCGGCGCCTGTCGGCGACGAATGGGCGATCGGGGGTCGATGGATGCGTTCCCTCCTGAGCCTGTCACCCCTAGCGCTCCCGCTGACCCTTATGAAGAAAATCCTGGAGGCCTCGCGCGGCAACTTGAGACCCAAGTTCCACTGGATCAACGTCAGTTTCACGTCGGATGCACGTCGGATTCACGTCGACTTTACCTAGGACTTACGTGGGAACATCGCCGCGCGAACGTCGTCCCAGATCTGCCGGGACGGACGCGCGGACTAGACAGTACAACTATTGTGCGCCGAGCGAAGCCTCCAGGATTTCCTCATGGCGACCCCTCCCCCATGTGCCCACTTCTTCTCCCCACTCTGCCACCCGCCCTTCGCACTCTGACGAGGAGACCGGGCGAGCGCGCCTTCCGGCACCACCCCGGGAAGAGAGGAATTCAGGGCGCCGTCGCGAGCTTCCTGAATGGTTCAAAAACGAAACAGCTGCCATGCAGTGGTACAGCGGCGACGTTGGAAAGAGCAATATTGGTGCAGGGGCGTCCACGAGGAAGGCGCCCAAGAGGGAGGGTCGCGAATCATAGCCCGAGGCACGTGCGCAAACGAGGGGGGGCCAGGGGATACATTGAAATAACAAGAAGAAGGAGAGAACAAAAAAAGGGCCATGCAAGCATGGGAGATATTATGGCTCTGGTACCCACCCCCCTCGAATCGTCATCACCCCCCGCTTGGACGCCCCCGGCTGGTGGCGATGATGTTTGCGGTGGCAGGAACGGTCATGGCGGCAGTTGTTCCTGCCGGCGACGGCTGCGATGACGGACGGCGGCGACGATTACGACGTCGACTGCTACGCGGTGGCGACGGCGGATGTGATGATCAGCTGCAACCAAGACCTTACGTGCATGACAGGCCACGTGTCATTGAATGCGTACATCATGATGCTGAGAGAGGTGGCCACGGAGGGATGGCAATGGTGGCAGTGGTCACTGCGACATATCGTATAAACCATATTACCGTTGCACCCCGCTCGCCCGTCCACGAGGCCGAACTGATCAAGGAGGGCCGACGCGGCTGCGGGCGCCATGTCCGCCAACTCGATATGCCCGCCAACGTTTTCCTTTTTTCACCCGATCCGCATATTATTGAGAATCACCCCATCGAGATCCCTTCCTCGCAAGCACCTCCGTGACGATGCAACATGCCCGAAAAAAAGAGCCCGTAGTTTCTTGCCGAACTGGTTGCCCTGGTAGTCTACCTCCTCGTCCTCTGCCTTTTTGCGAGCATCCACGCCCGCCTTGTCGCGCTGCTATCGCCCAGTCCATCACCTTCAAGAAATCGTTCTCCGTGGGCGCCTCCAGCACGAAGTTCTGCACCCGGCACTGGATCGCGCGCTCCTCGTCCAACTGCAGGGTCCGCGTCGCCATCGCCTCCATCAGCTGGAGTTCCTGGGCCCGTTTCTCGCTGCCAGCTGCGCCCTCGGCCGCTTCCTCTGTGTTGTCATGTTTCGTTCCCTTGGCCTTCCGCCCGGGGCCTACCTCCTCCGCGGCCACGCGCGTTGGGCAGCCCGGGGACCTGAACATCACTTTGCGCCGACTCAAATGCTGATGGGGCTGCTGCAGGCACTGAACCGTCTAAGAGACATGGACAATGGAGGAATCAAAGGTGCTTGTCCAAAGAATCACGTCGGCTAAACTTGGCACGGCAAGGAACGCACTGATTGGCCCCCCGAGGAATGGCGTCGAAATCCTGATGCATTCTGGAAAGGTGGATCTTCAATCCACGAGGCCCCGAACTGTCTCAACCACACTTCGGACATGACAACTTCCCCACATCAGCGTTCTCAGTGGGGGCGGCCTTGAACGAGAGCAAAACAATAAAAGAAACATGGGGTTCACGGGCAAGCCACTCTATCCAGGGTCTGTCGAGGACGATAGAATCACGCACAACGCCGACCAAAAGATCGCGAGCGCGAGACTCGTCAGAGGCGCTGTCGAAAATCGTCCGGGGCCCAGAAAGAGACGATGAAGCCGAAGAGTGAAATCAGCACGGGCGCCTTCGGATCCGAGACAACGAACGCAGCAGCGCGGACGGCGACAGTCGGGCCATAGTCCCGGGCCCCCAAGAGGGGATCTCCTCTCGCACCGGTAATACAGGAGCAACAACCTTTTGAATCCACAAACATCGTCGAACAAGAAAGATATATTCTACGCTATAAGACCACATCACTCTCGAAAATCATCAGAAGAGACTCTAGATATGCGCTGATAATCTAGCCGGACGTCGCAAACAACGAATATGAAAGCGCTCGAATGTGCTTCGGGCCCAGGACTAATACGTCGCACCCCCAGGGCGCGCAACAGAATAAATCTGACCAACGCGACCCACAGACGAGCCGTCAGTTTGAAGGGGGGAATCTGGGATCTCCACAGACGGCGGCGAGCCTATGGTGGGCCACTCGAGCCTTCTTGATACGAGCCTCAGCCTCGACGAGGTCACTCCCAGAAGTATTGATCATAAAGCCAAAGTACGTAGCCAAGACAGTAACCTTGATGGGGACCTCGGAGACCAGGAGATACTCAACCCTGGCGGATCTGCTTACTCATGGCCCTAGACCCCGTTCCGAAAGCCCTCCTGGTAGTTTCTAACTCGGACACGTTGACCCCGAACCCTGCCTCAGACAAGCCCATACCTATGTCCGCGAGGAAGGGGGCGATCGCGTGACTCGGGCGAAAATCTCCAGCGCGCGAAGGTCGCCCATGAAAACGGTCTCACCCCAACATGTGACCAGGAAAATGCGAATCAGAACCCTAGAGACGTTCTAAGTCGACGCCGAACGTCGCCATCAGAGAATGGTCGCCACGCCCACGTTAGAAACGACGCATAATCACAGCGCGCAACAAGATAAAGCACAAAGGGCCCTCAGAAGAACCGTGACAAACACCTAACTCACTACGCGGACGTCGCACGATTCCACCAGTTCGCACATCCCGAATCAAAATGCACGCCCCATCATGGATACCCTCAAGCAGGAGCACTGAATCTTCCTAAAGAAACAATTCACGCGTAGACTCCCAGAGCCTGAGGCGGTCGACCTTACCAACGGCTTTGGACAGATCGAATAGACCTTGAATTAGCATGAAAAGAAGTCGGCCGTGCCTCTTGCACTTGGCATTCTTGGACGCCGCAGCCGCCACTCTCTCAATGACCTCCTCCACTATCGCAATATGAAATCGTGCGCCAAGATTGGGGAGCCCACCCAACTGAATACGGCCGATACGACGTGCAGTCTCGCCCGTCGAATCTCCAAGAAACTGCTCAATCATGTGATTGCCCCAATGGCTGAGCACGCTAAGAGCACGGCAATGCTCGCCAGCATCGGAGCCGCCGCCCGGCCCAGGCTTACGTAGGTAGACAGCCTCTCCGCCTTTGTTGGACATCGGCACACGACCCACTGCAGCGACGCCAGAACTCGCCGCCGTCAAAGAAGGGGCAACTTCAGAGCGCGCCATCCTGAACACCTCAGCGACTGCACCGCGAAACACCTGAGTGCGTGCCGGCTGAAGAGTGTTAGTGCCAGCCTTGACGGTCGGCACCGCGTCGACCATATCATCAACTATCGCGCGGGTGAAAACGCGAGGGCGTGGCCCGCGGCATTCAGTATCACCTGGTCACGCCGACGAGAGACGACGTCATCCACTGGCAAGTCGGCCACGTCGGTGATACACTTCATAGCAGTAGCTCTCGCGTCGATCTCATCCCGCGGCCCCCAGCAGCACTGGTCGCGCAGCTTCCACGTCGCTGAAGAAGCCGAAGATTTAGGACCAGGACCCTGCACAATCTTGAAGGCGCCACGAGAATCACCAGAACTGAACAACAACTCCGCATCAGCCGCCCAAAGTCTCAGCATTGGCCTTCCTGTCTGCCCTGATGGTTGCTTTGGCCTTTTTGGTGGCCAATAGTGTCTGGTGCCGAACATAGACGCGCTGAGCAGAATACAACAAAATGCGAAGGAACTCTCCATCCACTAAGCCTGGCTGCTGGATGAAGCCAGTATTCATCGCAGAACGCACCGTAATATCCTCTATGTAGTCGCACTCGTCGCAAGCGCCGACGTTGGATGGCATGAATTCCACTTGGCCCCTCACGGCAGAAAGGTATTGGGCCACCTTCGCACCAAGCCCAGAGTCACACAGGGCATCATACTCCTGCACCTCTTCCCGACAAAGCTTGGCAGCCTCACCAAGGAGTTGCGAATTCCATCTTGGAGCAGACTTTGGAGCCTTCATCGGCGCCCACGGCGGTAACTGGCAAAGGCCACCCACTGGTCTATGGTCTCGATACCCTACCAGGCTCCCAGGAGACTTGTAGTCCACCTGCGCAGAACAAGAAACTCTTGCGGCAGTGCTGTCCATCCGGATGCACCCATACCCAGTTGAGCGTCCTGCTCGATGGTGATATCACAAGATAGAGGTGAGCTCGCGTTGGCAGTCAACCGCAATGAACTCTTGCGTTGTCTACCAAAGCCAACGAACGGACTCTCCTGTCTAAGGTCGCCATTACTGTCAGTCCCCAAAATCAATGCAGAACGAATGCGATGTGTCAAAAAGCGTGGGGCCGTACCCATGCAATTCCAGAACTGACGCTGACCTCATTGCAGCTTCATCTGACCGGCTTGGACAGAGAACGGCGCGTCGCACGACATGCAATAAAGATCTCGCTCGTGCCGTCATCGACCTCTGCGCCAGCGCATACCGCCAAACTTGCCAGGCGACCAAATACGCTTGCAGACAGGAGGAACAGAACCGAACATTTCGATGCCCACGCATCATATCAAACCATCCCGGGATTGCGGTGTCGATCTCAGGAACGGGACAACTCGAAAGTCTTGAGATATCCACTCAACACCAATGTCCATTGAAGTGTCCTGCGAAAGCCAAACATGAATATCCGCAGAACGTGCTAAACGGAGTAATTCGGCGATCCGCCCAACGACTCGCAGACTCTCACAATTGTAGATGCGAGCGCGAATCTGGCGCGCGCCATCAAGCACTTGCGGCTGTCGTCTACGTCGGGAACGGCGGTGATCATCAGCAAGCGGCAATCCCAGCAAATCATCAGCATTAGACTTGGCGCCTAGAGCCAAATGCATACGCTGGAGGGCCGCGCAGTCGGCGAGCTGGGCAGCCTGTGCGAGATCATACATACGATCGGCCGCGATACCGACAATGACCATGTAAGAACAGACTTCGGATGGCTCGCCCCGCTGCCCATTTCGAAACATTCGTGCCCGTGTTCTCCAGCATCGAAGCATCGCGACCCATGCTGCTGGACGCGCGGCCGCCGGGCAGCAGCCGCGCACTCGGCCTCCACCAGTCACAAAGACGATAGAAAAGAAACCATCTCGGCGCCCAAACTTGGCTGGGACTGGGAGAGGCCGACCTGCTCGGGAACCCTCGAACCAGAGCGGTCGCGGTCGGCCCCCCCCGGGGGGGGGGCCCAGGTGGGGCCGCGCATACACCATACACATGCATCCGCCACCGCGCTCACTGGCACGTCGAGGTGCGCTAGAATGCCAAGCGCCATCAATATTCTAGGAGACGCCCCCCTCCAGGCCGCACCTCGTCGCGCGCGCTGGCCATGTTCCCGAGGGTTCCCGGGCGGCCACGGCGCCCCCTGGGGCTCTCCGCGGCTTCCACGACAGCACAGGGCCCCCCCAAGACGGCCCAAGAGGCGCCGATTCGCCGAACGATCGCCCGAAGACGCCCAAGATGGCCTCAAGATGGCGCAAGAGTGGTCCAGGGCGCCCCACGAGGCCTACAAGAAGTCCCAAGACGGCCCACAGAGGCAAGAATCATGGATTTCACTTGAGTTTTGAAAAATTTTGGCGCGCTCGCCTTTTCGGCTCCCCGACGCTCCAAGACGGCTCACTTGACCCCCCAGATCACCCCAGAACGGCCCAAGAGGTCTCCAAGTGGAGCCATGGCCGCACTGTTGCCACGGCGACGGCGCGAATTGACGGCGCGCAGCCGAGCTCGTTAAGGCACGGCTCGCAGACGGCACCCCAAAAGTGGCGCCGGCACCGCGGCTGGCGCGCCTGGGCCCCAGCAGCACCATGAAGAGAGCGCCGATGCATGGGACAAGGAACCCGACACCCGGCGCAAAAAAACATCGCCTTTGGAGCTGGTCAGCGATCGGCCCATTGAGCCCCGAGCCCACCAAATACCTGAACATGACGCGCGCGCCGTGCGGAGCAACGCAGTAGCAACAGATGCGGGGGGCAAATCGCGCCCCCGCTTCTCTCAAACTGTCTACCGTCCAAATATGCAGGCTTACGTTGTATATGCGCACGTGGACAGCCGCGCGCGCGTTGATGTGCGCGCGTGTTTCTGCGCGCCTGGCGGCCCCGAGCACGGCCGCGCGCGCGGGGCGCGCCGGCCTGTCTCAGGGCCCCTGCGCCGGTGCTTTTTCAGCGGGCAGGCCGCGCTCACGCGGACCAGGACTGGCGCTGCCTGCTGACAATTTGCGACAACAGCGTCGACAGGTGTCCTGGCCGCGCGGCCGATGATTATTGGGGGGGGGCGGTGCTTCGCACTGGTCTGGAGTTGGGGCAGAACGCCCCTGCGGTGGCGATCGCGCTGGCGTCAACGACCACGTAGATCATGCAGCCCATGATCCCCAGAACGGTTGTGTGAGCCGCATGAATGGTAGCCAAAGACGATGACATGGCTGTTGTTTGTACCGCCTGTCGTAGTCGACGTCGTGGTCGTCATCGTCGTCGTCGTTGTATCAGCTGTAGTCGGCGGCGTCGTCGACGTCGTTGTCGCAGCCGCTGTCGTCGACATGCATGGGCCGCACACGGGCGCGCAATTCGCTCGGCGTGAGTCTCGCCCCTGGACGCGGCCGCGCATAGGCCGCGCCCTTGCGCGGCATGATCTGACAGGCCAACGCAGCAGCGCACGCCGTTGGCCCGGCCTGGACGCCGGCCCGCTTCCGACAGCCGCGCGCTCCGGCGCGCGCGCGGCCACGCGGCGACGGCGCGGCCACGCAGCGCGCGTTTTGCAGCCGCGCTTGACGCGACGCGGTTGCGCGACGCCGCCGAAACGGCAGCGCGGCGACGTCGCGGCGCGCGAGGAGGCGCGCCGCAATCGCGTTGCACAGCCACAGAGCAACCACATAGCATCGCGGCGCGCACATAGGCGCCCCGCAAACGCGCCGCACAGCCACGCCCCTTTTCCAAGCCATGCTGCTCCGATGGGGCGCTGGCGAGACCCAGCGCTGCACCCGTGGATGCGGCGAACTGCGAGGCGCCTTGGTCCGTGCACGTCGTGGCCGACCTGCGCCGCGGCAGTGCCGCGCGCGCGCGCGCGGGCTGGGATGGCGGCCGACGGGCGCGCGGGCCCCTGTTCGAGCGTTGATGGAACACGTCGTTTTTGCGGTCGCCGCGCGGTTGGCGGTCGGCGACGACGCCTGGAAGGAAGCCAAGTTGCTCAGCTACAACCACAGCAAAGCACGGCAGCGCCAGCTGCCCGCCGACTCGCGGCTGCGCTTCGCCTGGGGATCCGCGCTCCACGACCGGCATCCGAGACGCGCGGCAGGTCGAAGCGCGATCACCCTGGCGGTTCCTTGCGCCGTTTGCCCCGCGGTCGGCGCCGAGTCCACTGGCCGGCACGGGCGGAGAGAGTTGTCGTTTTGAGCAGTCTTGGGCGGTGATCAGAAAAGCCTCCCTTCTTTCCGAAAGCCCGTCAGATGTACATGCACGTGCACCTTCGCATTGGCGATACGCGCGGCTAACTATCTCGGCGCTGAACTCGCCATGCCACCGCCCTCTCGCCCTCGCCCCGACGGGGCGGAAGGGGGGAAGGGAGGTTTTGTCGCGGCGCCCCCAACAAGGACAGGCCGCCGCGCCAGCGCACGCGCGCGCACGCATGGCAGACGCACCCCGACACCCAAGCACAGCACTGCCGCACGCGCGCGCGCATCCACGGCGAGACGCGGCCGCCGCGCCAGCGCGGCCTGCCATGCGCACGCACCGAGGCGGCCCCGCTGGACGATCACGCTGGCTGCGATGCGCCGAGGGCGGTGATGACGATGAAGAAATCGACGCGCTCCTCGCCGTTGCGCGCGGAAATGAAAGGCGCGTCGGCAGGGCTGACGCACCCCTGCTCAAGCTGCGGTCGCAGAGTAGCGCACGAGATGGTAGAGGGCGCAACGCGCTGCTGCTGCGTTCCGCCGACAGTCGACCCCAGGTACGCCGTCGCAGTGGACGCGAGCACGCCAACGCACTGGCGGCGCGGGTCTTGCCTCGAGAGCGGCCTGGCTTACATCTGGAACAGTAGGCCACAGATGCCGGCCGCCGTGGCCGTTGGCCAGGCTGTTGGCCAGGAAACGACCTCAGCCGCCGCGCGCGCCAGTTGGGGCGTCGAGCCCCACTGGGATCGCACCGACAAGTACGGATATCAGCTGCTGTTCAGCAGCCAGCGCGCTGCCCGCGACTGGAAATCAAGGCAACGGCGTTTTGCAGCGCCTTTCGAGCTCGAAATGCACAAATGGAAATCACAGCTGCCGGCGGGCGCCGGCCGCGGCGGAGCGGGCGCCCGGCCGGCGGCCGCTGCCGCGGGAGGCACCAGGATGGAGGAAGTGGATGGAGTGCGAACAGGGAAGGCTGAGCAGAAACATTGAAGACCGAGCGGTGGCACTGCCTCGCCTTTCCCCCGCGCTGCCGTTGCTCTCACACGCCCCCCCCCCCTGACTGTTCTCCCAGTCCTCTGCATGGCGTCGTCCTCCTCGCCTCGAGTTCCTCGCGTCTCCTGCGACCTCAGACTCCCCGCGCCCTCCTCGCCCTCAAGCCCACCCAGCAGCAGCTGGCGCCCCGCGGCCCACGGCGCGGCGGAAGCGGAGACCGAGCGAGCAGCGAACCCCCGGACGGGCATTCGCGCCGCGCGCCGCGCGCAGCCGCGGGCGCGAAACGCCGGCGCGCGCGCGCGTCTTGGTCGGGCAGGGCCGCGCGCAAACGCGCGCCAGCCCTGTCGCAGGTTGCAGCGGTTCGCAACACGGCCCCCGTCTGCGCGCCCGCCCACTGGCCCAGGGCGCAGCAGCGAGGCCATGCGCTCAGAACCGTGGACAGCGAGGGCGGAGAAGAAGGCCCGATTGAACGCGACACGCTGCACGCTGACAAAGGCGACCTAGAAGAAGCAGGAAGCCGAGAAGAAAACGAGAAACAATGCGGACAGGAACGCCAAGAAGAACACGCAGGTCGAAGGCGAAGCGATCGGACTTGTCAGCTCAGCAAACATATACCACATCAGCCAAAACAGAAGATAAACGAAGAATAACTCCACGCGGCACTGGAGAAGACTGAGAGCGCGCATTGCGAGACATTTCGGCGAAGATCAAAAGCATCTCCTTCGATAGCAGACCAGCGCGCATAGTCCACCACGGGGAAAGAGCGCCAAGCTCGGCCCCGTGTGGACTTGGCGGCGCAGCAAATGACAACGCGGCCCGTCGGAAAGGCCGCGGAAAGAACTGCGGAGCTCGACCCCCCGGATCGCCAGGCGCCGACTCATTTACAGGTGCAGACCGCAAGCGGCGCGGACCGACAGGGCGCGCCCTTGGCGACGGCGCGCCAAGCCGTTGAGTCAGCCCGCGAGATCTCAATGGAAGCATTCCCCGCCGGGCGGCGGCCCAGCAGGCGACGACGTCCTGGACGTGTCAAGCGCCAGACTCGCCGCAGGTTGCACGCCGAAGGTAGATCGCGCCGAATGGCGAAAGCACAACTGAGGGGCGGCGCGCATTGGGGTAGCACTGCCCGCATCGGCTGGCACGCGCCTTAACTGTCCCTAGTCACTAAGACGGCGACGTGGCTGAGTAGGTGAAACGACGCGGAGATGCGGAGAAGAGGCAAGCAGTTTGGTGAATACTCACGCGGGCTGACATCGCACGCCGGCTGACCCGACCCACATAAGGTCTCTCTGTGACCTGCATCGCGCGCGACGTAGCCGATCGCAGCCTGAGCGCGGCGGGGAGAACCAACATCGGCGCCAGCAGGGCACGGCAGCCAGAGCGCGCGCAGGCGCACAGCCAGGCGCAACGGCGCCCCAGCGTGCGTAGCACAGCGCGTCATTGGGCACAAGCGCGGCATGCCTCTTCCTTTGCGCACGCTCCGGCGCACAGCCGAGGGCCCCGATGCCCAGCGTGCGCTGCGCGGCGCGCAGGTGCGCGCAGGCGTTGCGCGTCGCGCGCGCTGGCACCGCGAGGCGCCGACCATGCCCCAGCGCGCGGAGCACGACGCCTAGGAGTGCCAAGCCATAGCACACCGTGCTCGCGCAACTGCATCACAGGGAATGGGCAATGCCACAGGCGCGCTGAGCAACACATGGGTACGCATAGGTGGCGCGCACCGAGAGCCCTGCACTGCCGCGCACTGGCAGTGCGCAGGCGTGATCCCCACCTGCGAGTCCCGAGTGATCGAACAATTGCCACTGAAGAGACAAACGTGCACACCGTTTGTCCGAAGCTGCACTGGCAAAGGGTGGACAGGTAGCCGCGTGGCCGCGTGCCTAGACCGAACGGCACAGCGCAAGGCGCAGACGCGACCTTGCGGCCGAAGGCACAACAAACGTGCCAGCGCGCCTTAAGCTGCACACTCCGTGCGTCGTGCGTCCGAGCGCCAGGACACACCGCATGCACTAGGGCGTGGGACTCGAGGTCTTGTTGTCAAGTGGATGGCACAGCTCTGTCCCGATTGCCTGTTTATCGTACTCAACATTGCTACCCTGATGGGTATGTGAACGGACGGCGTACCGGTGGCGAGGCTGGCAAGTGGTTGTGGCCAGGGCTGCGCGCGGTGTAGCACGCAGGCTAGGCCACTTCCCTATTATTCGGGGAAGGGTGTGCGACAAGGCTCCCAGGCAGCACGCGGCACGACAACAACAGGTTCCAGCGACACGCCTGGACGCCTCATCCTGGAAGAATACTGGTGACCGTGGTAATGAAGTTCCCGTCGAAGCAAAACTAGATAATGACGAAGTACAGCGAATCAAATTTGCCGAACGGGCAAAAGAGGCAGATGGGACGAAGAACCCAAGTGAACACGGTCGTGGCGTAGCCGACGTACTGGCTGTATCTGGACGTGGTGTCTGCAGCACTCGCCGGATGCGCGTCTGGCCGGCTGCGGTCCACAGTCGGGACAAGCATATGCATCGGCGACATCAGGCTGGTGATGAGTGGTCTGGTGCCCCCGAACGCCAATATGGGCATCCTCTTCGATACGACTCCACCACGACGTGAGCTGCGGAAGCGCCTTGGGGTTCGGGCCTGCGCTGGGACGAACACCATGTTGAGGCCAGTGGCAGCCGTAGTAACGTTGTTGCCCATGGCTGGTTCCAACGGTGGTGATATAGGTACATCAGCGTTCAAGGGTCTACTCGAGCGGCGCGACCTGATCGCAAGGACGACCAACAGTGTCGCACACGTCACGGAGCACGGCACTAGCCCAGGGGGGGGGGGGGGGGGGCGCAATCACGCACGACGCAAAGCTGCGGCCAGTGCCTGTGGGGTGCGTGGCGCTTCCGTGGTAGCGCCTGCGACCGCCGTTGCTCTGCGCAGCTGGACCCACACGTCTTATACGGCATCATCGTTTCCTGTGAACGCCCAGGGGGAATTACCAGACGGTTCACAGAACAGCCGTAAGCACAGGCTGCTCGTGGGGCGGAGGCTGGTACCGATGAAGAGGTTGGGGGAATGCAAATGTGCGTCCACCTTGCACTATGCGCAGTCCTGTGGATCGCGAGCTGGGATCGCTCCCAGTTCTGTTACCAATTAGAACTGCGGGTGGCAATGGTGGCATGAAAGATACCAGAACGGCGGTGTTTCCCTCTCAACACTAAACAAATTCGCAGGCCAGACGGCTGCGAAACCCTCCGATTCGAGTGAGGGGGAGGAGGAGGAGGAGGAGGAGGAGGAGGAGGAGGAGGAGGAGGAGGAGGAGGAGGAAGAGGAGGATGAGGAGGAGCACGAAGAGAAGGAGGAGGAGGAAAAGGAGGAGGAGGAGGAGGACGAGGAGGAGGACGAGGAGGAGGAGGAGGAGGAGGAGGGGGAGACGAGGAGGAGGACGAGGAGGAGGAAGAGGAGAAGGAGGAGGAGGAGGAGAAGAGGGAGACGAGGAGGAGAAGGAGGAGGAGGAGGAGAGGAGGAGGGAGCGAAAAGGGGCGACAGGATAGAGGAAGACTGAAGATGTAGTATACCTATACGATGAAATTATATTGATATGAGAGATCCTGGGGCGAATTTTGTTCCGATATTTGACCTTCGACTTCAGGTGCCCCGGAGTTTTGCGGGTCCCTGGGGCCATCGGGGAAAAACGCGATTTCCGTAGGGCATCCGCTGGCAAGCCGCTGTCTGATCTGATGTACCGACTGTACGACGGAGAGGAAGAGGAAGGCGTAAAGCGCGAGCACGCGCGCGAACTCCCGAGCCGCGTCTCGCTGGCACACCCGGAATTGGAACAAACATGGGCACGATGCGCAAACTCAAGTGTTGTCCAAAACCGACAGCGGCCGCTATCTGGCAAGCGTCCTTTTG